AAAAGAAGGTGCTAGAAGTGTCCCGGTCTGAAAAGAAGGTGCTAGAAGTGTCCCCAGCACAGGTATGAAGTCTGCCTGGAAATCTTTGGGTCCCGGTGCCCTGGAGGCCTCCCATCGCAAGGAAGGACTTGCTTTAGAAAGCAGAGAACCCATAGAAAGGTCGCCATCAGAAGTCCCATCGACATCACTCCCCACCACCTTCAAAACGCATGTGCATTTGTGTGTGTGTGTGTGTGTGTGTGTGTGTGGTTCCTGCTTCATTCACTCATGGCTCCGACCACAGCCAGGTCTCCCCACTAACCCCCAGCAGAAGCTGGTGCCATGGGACTTGCTAAAGCTGCAGAGTTAACATTACACCTGCGGCCTGCCTGGAAGGAAGGAGGGACAGAGGCGAGCCCCTCGGCCCCCAGCCGCACTAGAATGCGGTAAACAAGGTCTGTGTGTCGCAACCGTGGCGCCCGCGACGGACGGGGAGGTCAGAATGCAGGGCTGGAGTGCAGAGCCGAGGAGGCAAAGGGCAGGTGGAGGCCTGGTGTGGAGGCAGCTGGGAGAAGAGGGCGACCCAGTGGGTGAAGGCAGGACAGTGGGGAGGAGGCGCGGAGGGGAGAGGGGAGAGGTGGCGGGTGGTGCTGTTCTGTCTCCAAGGCCAGAAAGCAGGCAAGAGCTGGAGAGGTCCGAAGTACAAGGCGAGCTGCAGGCAGGCTTAGTCATCAGCTTGCAAGCTGCCCTGTGAACCGTGGCGCTCCTGGAAGACTCCCTTAGTGCCTTCGAGTCTCTGGAGTGTCTGCCGGTCTTATGCCTTAGATCAGGAGTCCCTGACCCTTAACCCCAACCCCAACCCCTCAAGGGAGAAAACTCTAGGGCAGGGATCTCCGTCCGCAGGCTGAAGCTCCCTAACAGCAGGACTGGAGGGTCTTCTCCCATCTAAGCGTCCCTGGGGTCGGGGACACTGGATAGTCCAGACCACAGAATGTCAGGCACGTGTATGCCAAGCAGTCTGCAGGGTACTTCACAGCAGTTGCCTCATGTGACCCTCATGACACCAGGAGGGGTAGTTTCCCCATCTGACATCAAAGGGAGGCTTCCAGAAGGGAAGTGATGGGCCCAGAATGCATCTGAAGACTGGTCCATCGCTCTGCGCTCTGCGAGCTTTACTGAGGGTCCCTATTTTTGGGACTGGGCATGCAGCAGTGAGAGACAGTCCCAGCCCTCAGGGGGCTTCTGGTATTTTAGAGGGGAAGGCAGAAAATCCAAGAAGCAAATAGAGAAGCTGAGCTAATGATGAAGAGCATACAAAGGTCATAGAGAGGGGCAAGTGTGTGTGTGTGGGGGGGCTGCTACTCAGGCTGGGAAGTCAAGGGAGGCTCCAGCCCAGCCCAGCGGACACCCCTGCCCAGCAGACACCCTAGAAGTAGGGAAGTGGGAGGGCCTCCCGCACAGAGGGAGCAGGGAGCACAGAAGCCCTGAGACCAGCTGGAGCTTCCTGCCCTGGGCCCGAGTGGCAAGCCGGCAAGGGGAGCTGGACCTGAGCACGGAGGGGTGGGCAGGGATCAGATAACTCCAGCCTCATGGGCTTTGGGGAAAGGGGATGGGAAGCTGCAAGAAGGAATAGAGGAGGCGGGAGTGGAAAGAGGGAGGCCAGGTAGGCTAGTCCACAGGCATCAGGCTCAGAGATGACAGGGCCTATGGTAGGGAGGATGGATTGGACCCAAGGTGTGAGGGACTAGAGAGATGGAGGATGTGGCCTGAACTGGGGAGGCCAGGGAGGGAGCAGAAAAAAAAGGGGGAAGCAGAATTTGACCCTAAAACCCAAGCATTTTACCACTGACAGAGACTTTGTCTTTTTCTTCCCTGTCCCTCATTGGCCAGGACAGTGGTGGGTACAGGGTAGGTATTCAATCAACTCATTGGTGTATTCAGTGAATATTTATTGAGCACCCACTATATGCCTGGCTCTGTCCTAGGCACCAGGGATATACATGGCATGGCAAAGTCCTTGGCCCCTTGGAGCTTACACTATAGAGGGAGAGGGGACGGGCGCATGTGTGCCTGCGTGCTTGTGCGTGCATGTGTGTGGGGGCTGGTTTTAGATGTGGTGGTCATGGTAAGCTTCCCTGAGCAGGTGATCTCTAAGCCCAGACCTCAAAAGAGTGGGGTGGGGGGGCGCCTGGGTGGCTCAGTCGGTTAAGCATCTGCCTTCGGCTCAGGTCATGATCCCAGGGTCTTGGTATCCAGCCCCAGGTCAGGGTCTCTGCTCAGTGGGAGTCTGCTTCTCCCTCTGCCTGCGGCTCTCCCTGCTTGTAATCTCTCTCTGTGTCAAATAAATAAACAAATACATAAATCTTTAAAAAAAAAAAAGAGTGAGGTGGGGAGCCTTACATGTGAGTATCTCGAGGAAGTACATTTCAGACAGAAAGCAACAAGTAACAAAGGCCCCGAGGTGGGGGAGTGCTTGTTGACCAATCATTTACTTGTTGATTCATTAATCAGTACCTGTGTCTCTGCCTTGGAAGTCTCTGAGAACAATGCCTGTGTCTTTTCCACCAAAAGAATGGTCAGAAGGGCAGAATGGGAACCAATTTCTTCCTTTCTTTATGCCATCCCTCTTTTCCCAGCATGGGCCAGGCCTAGAAACAGGGAAGTGGGATGGACCGGGATTGAAGTTGTCACATGGTCTGGAGGAAAGGCAGAGAAAGTCAAGGACTTGGGCCGGTTCTGTGCTGTCCCAGAGGCCATCACTCACCCCCATGCTATTTCTGCTTTTAATTCCTGGGGGTCCCACCCAGTCACCCTGCCCCTTGCCTCTGGCCCTGCCATGATCCCCATGGCATGGGGAACCCTTCGCCCCTCCAGATAGTCATCCTGGAGAGTTATTTGCCTCTCTCATCATCTCCAGGGATTAAGGGTACACCAAGGGGGTGCTGTGCGCCCACTCGGCTCCAAGCCCTGGGAACCAAGGAGGTACCTAAGAAACTCTGGGATTCTAGAATGCAAAGGACCAGCCCAGGTTACCAGCTCCCAGACTTGATGCCTGGTTCTCAGCACGAACTCCACCCAGACTCCTGGCTGTGCCTGGGCCTTCCTATGACAACAAAATGACCGTCACTTCCTCCTTATGATGTCCAAGCCATTTCTGCTTCTCCATCAGTCTTGCTGACGAGACATGTTCTAAATTCCACTGATTCAAGACTTTCTATTCTTACCAAGGAAGCATAACAGGCAATGGATCCCCAAACATGCCTGACCACACATGGAATCTTAGAAGGTGTGTGAAAGCCCACGGTGGGGACGGATCAGCCAACCTGACAGTTCTTCCTGATTTCGAGTCCAGGCACTCCGCTCTGGGTCTTGTGAAATTCTTCAGGCCCCAGAAACCCCAGGAAGGCCCTCCCACAGAGCATCCTGGGGCTCTGGAAAGGGAACCCCAACAGGGCTAGGTCCTCTTTTCCTGTGTGAGCCCCTCCTCTAGAGCCCTAGCTTCTGGGAGCCATAAGTGGGGGAGAAGGCAAGTGAGAGCCATGGAGGGAAGCCTCCAGCAGGGAGGGGCCAACCTGGCTGGGCCTGGCCAGCTGCCCTTCGCCTTAGCTCAGTGGTTCTCCAAGCAGGGCTCCCAGACCAGGAGCAGCAACGGTCCCCTGCTGGAAACACACACACACACAGTGGGGCCTTGCCCTCCACCTACTCCATCAGAAATTCAGGGCTGGGGCCCAGCAATAGCTGTTTTAAGAAGTCCCCCCAGGTGATTTTGGTGCAGCATGGTGGGAAGGGGTGAAAGTTAAGCCCAGGCCTGGCTTTCCACTGAACTTCAATATGCGAGGCTGAGTGAGGCCCTCCTGCGCCTACGCCCAAGGACTGGGTTAAAGGATTTTACAGTCTCTCAGCCAGTGATGGGAGTCAGATGAACATCTAACAGGGAGATGCAGACTACCTACTGTAACTCTCCCCCTTTCTTGCACGGCTCTTGGAAAAGAGAAAAGTGCCCTGGTTTTGTTGTCGTTGTTGTTTTTGTGTTTGGTTTTGTTTCATTCTTAGCATCTGGAAATTCTCTGGTCCAGGAGAAGTGTGGTTATTTGGAATGTCCTTGGGTAAAGTCACAGGGAAGCTGCCTGCCTGGCTAATTGAGCCAAATAATTTAATTGATCCCACTTAGTTACGGAGAAAGAGGATCTTGCTTTATTTTAAGCAGACGTCTCCCTCCTAATCCACACACGCTTCCCTACAGCTGAGGAGGGAAAGGAGGGTCTTAGCTGGAATTGTTGCCCTTGGACCCTCTCCCCACTCCCACTCCTTTTGGGTTGGGACTTTATGGGCTGCCTCCTCTAGAACTCAGGCCCCATCAAAAGTCAAGGAAGAGTTATCAAGAAAAAAAAAGTCAAGGAAGAACAATGACTTTTGTTTTGTCCTGTTTGCCTTTTCAGTGGTCCCTGAGGCCAGGAAGGGAGCCGGTTTGTACATCCCCCTTTGGGGGAGAGAAAACGATGCAAGGATTGCCCCAGGAAGTTCCTCTCCGTTTATACTTACTGAGGGCCTCGCAAGGCCCCGACCTTTCACAGGTATTATTTATTGACCCTGGCTCAGAGACGTTAAACAAGCAACCCAAGGCCACACAGCGGGTGAGGAAGACAGCAGAACCCGGGAGCGAGCGTGCCTCGTCTCTCCGGACCTTACTGCCTCCTCCGGACAAGCTGGGACTGGAACCGACTCCTCTGGCGCCGGCCTGGCCCTCCCTTGAGGAATAAGCCCCAGGAGAAGTCATCCCCCCAGGTTCGGCAGCAAGGAAGTTAACTCCCGGCGCCGAAGTCAGCCGGATCAGCCCTCCCGCGAGTGCCGGATCCTCCTCCCTCAGACTGTGGGGGACCCTTGCCGGCTCAGGCCTGGTCCGCGCCCCCCCTGTCCCGAGCCCTCCCTCCCCGCCCCTGCCCGGGGGCTCCTCCAGGCCGCCAGCGCTGACTCAGCGTAAACCGAGCCGCGAAGGGCGGCGGGGCCAGACGCGCCCGCCCCGGGGCTCCAGTGCTCCGCTTTGATTGCCCCGTCCCTCTCCCCCGCCCTCCAGCCGCCCTGCTCCGCCCCCGGGGAGAGGGCCCGGCCGGGAGCAGGCGCCCGCAGCCGAGCGGCCGGAGGGCTCGAGGAGGAGCGCGCGGCCGAGTCCGGGCGCAGCATGACTGCCATCGCCGTGCAGGTAACCCCAGGGACCCGGCGGGGCGCTGAGCCCGCTGCCTCCGAGCGGCCCGGGGCTCTGCCCCACCGGGGGCGGGAGGGGACTTTGCGCGGAGCACCAGATCCAGCCGCTGGGGAACGCGGGTGCCGGGAGTGCCCCGTCGTGCCCGCCCTCTGTTGCAAGCTTGCGGGGTTCGGAGGAAGGTGGGCCGGAAGCAACTTGGGGGCGCCCCCCCAGTGCTGCTCCTGCGCGCGGTCTCCTTGCGGCCCTGCAAGCACCCGTGCCTCCCAAGCTTCTTGGGTGCATTTTTCTGCTTCTCTTTGGGGGGTCACCAGTAACCGTGGTTAGGCTCACCAAAGGGGCGCCTCCTTTTTAAAAAGGAGAGGCGCGTCTGGGGTGGAGGGATGGACACAGTCCACTTGCAAAGTGAGGCATGTCTTATGTAACGGGAGGATGCGTCTCCGGGGAAAGCCAGAACTTTCTTGGGCAGGGGCTAGAAAGACCATCTCCCAGACGCGTCTCGGGTGCTGGGGCGGGGACGCACTCGCTGGGGCGCGCGGATACTTATTAGAGAAGGCTGTAGCGAGGGGTTGGGGGGGACCCACATCCCCAAAGGTTTGATTTCTCAGACTGGAGAAAGATGTTTTTGTTGGCTGAGAACCTACCCCGTTCCTGCCCCCTCCCTCCGGGCGCGCTGCTGTCCGAAGGCAACTGGGTGGCGGGACCGCTAGCTACCCTGCGAGCGAGCTTCTCCACGGAGGCATCTCAATAGCTCGCCTCGTCCCGACTGGCCCGACCGTCCTAACGATTACAGAGGCTCGTTGACTTTGCATGCAACTGCCCAAACCCCCGCACCCCAACACTGACTCTGGTAGATGCTGTTCCGCCCACTTGATAGACAAAATAACTGAGGCTCAGAGGTGAAGTAGCCAGCCCACGGCAGCCGGCTAAGCGACATAATCGAGATGCAAAGCAGGACTTCTTGGCTCCGAATCCTACTTGCCCTTTCTACTTTTTACTAACAGAAGAAACCCTACCCGCCGGGCACCCCCCAAGCCCCATCTAGCCAGGACACAGCCGCTTGGGGGAGGAGGGGCGGGTTGCAGCGAGTACCTCCTCTTTGTTCTAGATCAGAACCTTGAGTCTTGAGGAGGGAGCGTCCGGGACAGGCCCTGGGAAGAGGGGGACCCACCGTGAGAAGGGTGGGACAGGGTGAGGTTTTCCCCTCCGGAAGCCCCGCGGTCCAGCTGCGGAGAGAGACTTGCAAACAAGGATTTAGAAGACATGTGGGGAAGTGAGTGCTAAATTAAGAGGTGCAAAATCGGCAGGCTGGATTCACGGGACGGGGGCGTTGTGTGCTGGCCCGGAGGGGGGCGGGGGGTGCAGAAGACTGGTAGCAGGTGAGGGACCTCGTTAGCGTCGGGAGAGGCGGGGGAGGGCCGTGGGGCGCGCGTGGGCGAGAGGAGCTCAAGCCCCAGGCTCTGCCGCGAGGGTAACGCGCGGCACAGGCTGCCCTGCGGGATGGGCGCCGTCCCTGTCCGACAATCGTCGCTGCTGTTCAGGAGCCCCTTAAAGCCGTGCCAGGGGCTGTTCTAAGATCTTGTGTTAACTCATTCCAGCCCCACCCACAATCACCAGGAGGAAGATGCTGTATCTTCCTTCCTAGGCAAGAAAACCCAGAGAAGAGGGATGCATGCATGCCAGAGGACAGACAGCAAAAAGCAGGCTGGCTGGGGTCGTGCAGGCCAACTCTTTAGGAAGCTGGCCAAGAAATTTCTGGTTATTAATGATGGGGGCCAGGGCGCCTGGGTGGCTCAGTCGTTAAGCGTCTGCCTTCGGCTCAGGTCATGATCCCAGAGTCCTGGGATCGAGTCCTGCATCGGGCTCCCTGCTCGGCAAGAAGCCTGCTTCTCCCTCTCCCATTCCCCCTGCTTGTGTTCCTGCTCTCGCTATCTCTCTCTCTGTCAAATAAATAAATAAAATCTTAAAAAAATAATAATAATAATGATGGGGGGCCTGACCTGGGCCTTCACAGAGTGGGCAGAGTCTGGAGGCATGCATGGGGGGGGGTAATGTTGGGGATATGAGGACTGAATAGTGAGCAGACCCTCTGGGGTTGAGGGGAGCCGGTGGTGTCCTGGGGTGTAGAGGAAAAGAAGACCTTGGCATTGGACTCAGTGGCCCAGGACTGTCGAGTGACCCTGTCTTGGAGATCATAGAAATCATTCAGGTTTAGAGATGGGAAAGAGAAACACATTTTTTCCGCGGAGGAAGAGATTAAAGTGCCTTGGCCAAGGTCCCACAGCTGGAGGCGGGCAGGGCAGGGGCGGGCGGGCAGGGCAGGCTAGACAGCCTTCATTCCTTCTTGTCCATTGGCCCTCTGCTGACCACACTGCGGCGAGCTGCCCTCCAGAAGGTTTCAGACCCTGGGTCCCTGGAAGTCAGCAAAGCTGCAGGCAGCTTGAGTGTGGGGCAGGGTGGTTAGGAATGAAGACTCCAATATGCGTTCATCTTGTTGCTCATATTGTCAGTAGCCCCCAAGCACCGTTGTGGACGTGACCTCATTTAATCCTTGGGAGTTTTCTTGGTGATCAGAGAGTTTCCATGAAGCCCTGCGTTGAGGTGGGAGGGGAAAGAAATGAACTGATGTGAGCTGTCTTCTCTTTGATCCCAGTGTGGTGTCTGAAGGGCTGGAGACTAAAGTCCAGTCTGTGCCCAAGGCAGGTGGGGCTGAGCGGGGGACAGGATGTACCTGTTCCCTAGGTCCTGGGTCCTGGGTTTCGTGCCTTGACTGGGGCCTTGCATCTGGGGCTCTCCCATTCTAGGACCTTACCAACCAGCTTCTGGGGGCCTCGTAACCTGGCCAGGTAACTTCATGGCACCTGCTGTCCTGCAGGGGTCGCCAGCTCCATTTTGTAGATGAGAAACCCAGGGCCAAAGAGATTCAGAAGCCACCCAAGGACAAACACCTTTAATGGTTTGTAGAAGCAGAGGTTTCAAGATTTCCTTAGTCTGTTTCTTAGCAGGAAAGCCTTTTTTTGGTTTGTTTTTTTTGTTTTTTTTTTTCTCTGATGGAATCCAGGACAGACTCCTAGGCCACCAGTGTCTCTAGCAGGTAAGAAGGACCTGTTGTGGTTGAAGTGGGGAAGCGTCCCCTACCGCCCCCCCCCCCCCCCCCCGCTTCAGCACCTGGAAGCCGCTTAGGAAGCAGGGGGTCACAGTTTGAGAAACCACAGCCAACTCCACTGGGGTGTTCTTTATAACGCCCCAGGCTACCTTTGAGGATGTGAGTTGGGGCCCTGACCCTGCCTTGGGCATCCCTCTGCACTCTACTCCTTTTCCTCACCAGTCATACTGAGCCCCTAACACAAAGGTCCCAAACTTGGAAGGCCCCCGTCAGTATGTATTGGCTAGATGCATCCCATGCCCTGCACATTATACAATTGTCCAGGCAGCCGTAACAGGCTTTACTGTGATTTAGGTGAGTGACCTTGGGGAAGTCATCTGACCTCTGCGTGACATAGTTTCCCTCTTTACACACCCCTGCTGGAGCTCCCTACTCTTATGAACCTCACAGGTTTGAGTAAAATAGGGCCCTGCTTAGGCAGAAGTGCTGAAAGCAAACTGGGTCCTTACTCACATAGCCCTCGGGCTGAAATTTATCAGTTGCTCCTGCTCAGGTGGGCAGGTTAGCAGCCAGCCTGATGTTCCTGCTGGGGCTCCGACCACAGGAGTCTCCCAGGAGCATGGCTTTGCTTTCTGTCCCTAACTGAGAGGTGTTCCCACCGACTGGCCTCTGGAAGCCTCCATTTGCACATGGTACAGGGTGCACCCCGTAGTCCTTGTTCGGTTTCCCCCGCGGTGACAGATGCGCATGAGTTGCCTGCTTTGCTTGCCTCCCAGACTGGGGTGTGACCTGGGCTGCTTCCATACACACTGTAAAGGGGGTAATTTATGACTGGGTAGGAGACTTATTGAGAGGGAGCTTCGGGAAGCAGTGACAGTGGTGACAATGACCATTCATCCCGCGGCTCTGCGCAAGCCGTCACTGAATGCCCAGCTCAAGCTCTGCACCAGGCACCAGGGATGCAGCAGTGCCTGATTGGGAGGCCCTGCCCTCCTGGAGAGCACAGTGTCTGCATGCGATAGGCAATATATAAGTACAAGTCGGAAGGGAATGGATAACTGGTGGTCAGAACAGTGAAGAAAACAGGCCGCCTGACTGGAGGAGGCCTGGTTTGGATGGGGTGGGGGAGGCAGGAAAGATCTCTGAGGAAGGGACATTTCCACGGAGACATGAAGAATGGAGAAAAGGAGGTAGCCTGGAGAAGAACCTTTTAGGCGGAGGGGCCGGTAGGTCTGAGGAAGAAAGTTCTAGGCTTGTCCTTGGGTCTGGAAAGAGGGCTGCTGTGTCTGAGCAAGGGGGCCAGGAAGAGTGTGTTGGGGGGTGAAGTGGGAGAGGGAGGCAGGGCAGAGGGTGCAGGGCTTGGCAGTGGTAAGGAGTTTGACTCTTTGAAGTGTTTTTCTTTTTTTGCTTTCTGGTTGGGGATGGAACCCATGCCTGGGTGGTGTCCTGGCCCAGTTTGCCAGAAGAGACGGGTGGGTGCACCCTTCAGGGCTGAAACTAGAGGCTGAAGGAGAGCCTCAGGGGCCTCTCCACGCCCAAAAGCTGCTAGACAGACACATTGATTGGCGAACTCTGGGTGGGGTTCAGGTTCAGGCTGAGCAAGACTGAAGGGCAAAGTGCAAACATCATTTTCAGTACAGAGGAAAACAAGGTAATAACATGTGGAGTCTGGGACACGCAGAACCAGCTGGGTGGAGATTAGGGTAAAACTGAAGTGTACTGGGAAGTTCTGGGAGAAGGGGAATGTAGCCTTGTATTAGCATGCTAACTGAAAGAAAAAAAAAAAAGAATACTAATAATCCGGTGCCCGGATTCTTGCTTTGTGTATAAAGAAACCCAGGGGGTACTGCAAGTTCAAGGTCACACTAGCCTGGCCTGACAAGTTTTCTGAATTCAGAACTGACGAGGATCTGCCAACCTGCTGGTCAAAAGAATTTGGATTTCTTATTCGTGAAGATCATTAAAGAAAGAAGGGTCAGGGAACTTTTCATGCCTGGTGAATAGTTGGATAGTCGGTGCTTCTAGGTCTTGAGTAGAGGTCAGGGAGCAGGTGGAATGGGGGAAAGGCTCCCCAAGGGAGTGGGTCTGTGCTGAAAGGTAAGGAGGAGTTGGGAAGGAAGCTCCTTGCAAAGGTGGGCATTCTGGGCCTCGAAGGAGACTGCAGCAGAAAAAAATAAGGCTTTGGGAAGCCGGGGGCATGGACAAGGATTTCCCCTAAAAAGGTTGGAGGGGTGGAGGAGGGCCCTGCCTGACATGCCCTCCGTGGTGTCTTCCAGGCCCAGAGGCTGCTGGCCCAGAGGAGGCCCCAGCGGCCCTTCTTGGAATCCTTCATCCGGGCCCTCATCATTGTGTGTGCTGCCTTGGCCTTGGTCCTCTCCTCCGTCTCCGTCTGCGATGGCCACTGGCTGCTGGCTGAGGACCGCCTCTTCGGGCTCTGGCACTTCTGCACTTCGTCCAACCAGACGGGGACACACTGTCTCAGAGACCTGAGTTGGGCCCACGTGCCCGGGCTGGCCGTGGGCATGGTCCTGGCCCGCAGCGTGGGCGCCTTGGCCGTGGTGGCCGCCATTTTGGGCCTAGAGCTCCTCATGGTGTCCCAGGTGTGTGAGGACCTCCACTCACGGCGCAAGTGGGCCATGGGTTCTGTCGTCCTCCTCGTCTCCTTCGTCCTCTCCTCCGGGGGGCTCCTGAGTTTTGTGATCCTCCTCTGGAACCACGTCACGCTCACTGGCTTCACCCTGATGTTCTGGTGCGAGTTCACGGCCTCCTTCCTCTTCTTTCTGAATGCCATCAGTGGCCTTCACATCAACAGCATCACCCATCCCTGGGGCCAACCGAGGAAATTTTAGGCCTCCCTCCCAAATCCGAGGACATCAGGTTCTACGAGAAAGTGTGGTCAAGATGGGACGTTTCCAACCCGTGACCTCTGCTGGGGCGGGGAAGGGTGGGGCAATGACCTTGAAACTGCTGCCTCTCAGCCAATAACCTTTGGGTGGTCGGCCAGATTCAGCCCAGCAGCCTTTGCAGCTGGCCTGCGGGGCCAGAGGCCAGGAGGGTGCTTCAGTGCCAGCAGCTTTACCCAGTTATTAGGATGTTGATTTTAGGAGAAGTAACACGTTTTAAAACCCTTTTCTTGAATCCTCCTTTTAAAATCCTTTCTTGAATCCTTCCAGGATGGGAGTAGATTTGGAAGCAGCGTGGGTAACGGCGCCTGGGCTGGCCACACAGCTAAGTGCAGCTCCCAGTTGTTTTATTGACTCTGTGCCAGGATCGGGGCTGTGGGGCCCCTGGGGTCTCCTGGGATTAGGCCCGGAGTGGATCGTTCCTCCAGCAAAGCATATCCAGTCAGTGCCTCGGACTGTTCTTCCACCAGCTCAAAGGGCCTTATGGGCACATTTCCCTGCTATAGCTTCAGTCATGCTAGGGAGGCAGAATTCAGGATTCCCTCGATCTCTTCCACATGCTAGGTTTTCAAACCATTTGACTCGATTTGAACCCTGCCCTTTGCTGTGTGTGTGTGTTGGGTGGGGGGGGGCGGTGCATAATCCTTGAATAACTGCAACTTCCTGCAGCCGGCTGTCCTGTCTGGGGATCCTGCCTGAACCCTTCCAGCAAGCTTCTCAGGACAGCCCTCCAGCCCAATACACGGTCCTCCCGAGGCGAGCGTGTGTGCGCGTCCGGCTTTGATAAGGGTCAAGACGGCCTCGGGTACCATTTTTGATTCTAGAGCACATTTCCAAAGAGTTCATGTCTGGACCTGTGGAACTCCAGGGGGGTCAAGGGGACTTGCTGGGCCTTGAGTAATGATTAACAGCCATCCTGGGGATGAGTGCAGGTGAAGGGGACCAGGAACCAGTGGAGATTTCCATCCTTGCCAGCAGATGTGCATTTCTGGGGAACCAGTTGCCCCCTTCCCAGTGTCTTTTCTGCCCCAGAGCTGGGGGATTTGCCCTCAAGCCATTTCATTCCACCGGCTCCACTCTAGCTACTACTGGTATGGGTTTTTGGTCTCTGCCCCGCCCTGGTCACTGCAGGCTCCACTTTCTGGGCTGGGCTGGGTGCTTCTCTCTCTCTCTCGTGGGTTTTTAAAAAACTTGGACTCCAAAATGTATATGGAGTCCATGGAGATCACTGAAGAAAGGTGTCATGGGCCAACCCATTTTTCAGAGAACAGAGCTCATCAACCAGACGGGCTGGGTTCTCAGCCCTGGGAAATAGGCACCTGACCTTTCATTCCAGGAGCCGTTCATCTGGCACAAAGGGGTGTGACCTTGTCTCTGCAGTGGGGAGGTGCGGAGGTGGGAAGCCAGGGCCCAGAGGGGGGCAGCACTTGTCCAGGGTCACCCACCAGCAAGATGTCTTCCCCTCTATGTTGTGCCTTCTGTCCAGAATGCTTCCCCCCCCACCCCGCCCGAAAACACTGGTAGGCTTTGTTTTATAAAAGGGTTCAAATGTTCAGTTCACTTTAATCCTCACATGGCTGGTGATGAGGGAGTGCTTACAGTCAAGGGAACTGAGATCCAGAGAATAAAGGGGAGACAGATCCCCATAAAACAGGGAGACAGGTCCCTGTCCGGTGCCCAGGAGTGAAGAAACAGACGCAGCCTTAGAGCATGGGGATTTGAAACCAAAAGCCCTGGACTGAACTCATGCCCTTTCTTGCAGAGTATCTTGGGCAAGTCGCGGGACCTTGGAGAACCTGTTTCTCTTTTCTGTCCCCTGGAATCTATGCCCCATTCCCAGCTGTTGTGCCCCCAGGGCTGTGGATAACTGCAAACAGGAGGAACAGAGGGGTGCCTTGTGCCACGCTAGGGTTACTGAGGAAGCTGGGGGTCTTGGGACTCTCTTGGCCTCGCTGACTTGATCAGATGAATTCAGTCGTCTTGAAGTGTAGGGTCAGAGCAGCTGGGCAGGTGAGTTGTAGTGAGGCGTAGGGAGGGTGCACCCAGGGCCAAGGGTCTCCATCTCTCCTGTTTCATGGGCTTCAACCTTAACCCTGGAAACTCCAGGAAGGGGTAGGGAAGTGAGCGGGAGCATCCTCCTCCACCTTGTGTCTCGAGGGCCAAAACGAGTGGGCAGTTACAGACCAAACCCATCCCAGCTACCATTTATTTCCCTGTCCTCTTCTGGAGCCTCTGACCCAGGCCCTCTTCCTGCCCCATGGTCCCCCCATTATTTTCAGTTCCGAGGAACCTCTCACCAGAGCCCCCTCCCCATCCCAAGGCTCAGAGGAGGGAGGGTTGTTGGTCACAGGAGGAAGCAGATGATGTCTGCTGAGAAGACTGGTCCGGGACTGTCCCGCAGCAGTGTCTGGCCTTCTCATGACCCGTCTCGGTGTCTGTCCCGTGGATGGCCCTGCTCCAGACTCTCAGATGACACCGGCCCTGCAGGTGGCCCCACTCTGCTCCGAGGTGCTGGCCTTGGTGCTGTGGGCCAGACCGCTGGTGCCGTTGCTGAAGGAGGAGCTGAGGGCCACAGGGCGCAGTAGGGACTCACGGAGGTGCCACTGCCGCCACTTCTTCTGAACCTCCAGCTGCACCTGGCCCGGAGACCAGCCGTCAGCCGGGCAGATGGGCACCTGGTGCCCACAGGCCCGTTCACTCGCCCGGGACCGCGGCACGCGCCCTGCCTCTGCCGCCCAGGGGTCCTGCCTCCCCTTCTCCCGCAGGCCGCTCAGATGGGCCGTTTCCAGCCCCGATGTCCAGTAGGGATCGAGGGCCCCCTCTCGCCTGGACGCCTTCACCTGCCACCTTACTGCTTGTGTCCCAAAGGGGCCTGGGCTTCTTTCACGAATTCCAGAACTCCAACGTCCAGATCATCACCCGGGACAATGGGACCCATTCCCATAAAGCCACCCTAGCTCAGACCTTATCTGGGGACCCTGGAGTTGCTCTTTGGAAATCTTCACAGTTCCCAGCTGTAGCAGCCCAAAACCTTTGAAGCCAGGCTTCAGGCTTGGAGTTTGGAAAACAGAGGTTCTTCCCATTCAAGTGTGGGGGACCAGATAAATGGTCACCAGTTACAGAAAGGCCTTACTTATGTGAACACTATTCAACTAATGTGGGCTGCATGGCTTGTGTGGGTCCCCACCCAAATGCTCTGGGGAGGAGCAGAGACCTCGAGGTAAGTGTGCAGCCCTCCTGGGGAGTCAGCACTCATGTGGGGGTCAGTGAGCAATTGAGTGTCAGAGATTTCATCATCGAGTCACTCATTGAGCAGAGGGGAAGACTGAGGCCCAGAGAAGGGCAGTGAGCAGGATCACCCATCAGGCAAGCAGCAGTCAGGAGCCTGGGTTTTTGTTGGGGTGCTTGCCCTTTCCTCTAGTTCCTGGACTCGCCCAAGGCTAAGAATCATCTGGAATGCTTGTTAAACATTTTCAGGCTCCAACCCAGACGTACAGATTCCTCCTTTTGCTGAATTAGAAATGGGGGGTGAGCAGGGCCCAGCAATTGTTTTAACTAGGCCTCCTGGTTCTTCAGTGCTCCTAGGAAGTGAGCTCAGGGGACCCAGGCCTCCCCCAGCCACACCATCCATGTCTCCCCACCACCCTTTCCAGGGAGCTGCTGAGCAGGAATCCAGTGGCTAGGGAGCTCCTCCATCGGGGCAGCCGAGGACACTCACCTCCCCATTGAGGAAGCAGTAGAGGACCGCCACCACCAGGCCCTGCAGGGGGGCAGAGCAGTAGGGGGTCAATGCAGGTGCTCCGGCACCCGGCCTCCTTCCTCCAACCTCCTCCCCATGTCCTTAAATTGCCAGCCCCAGGCTCACTTCTCCCCAGGAAGTGCTCCAGAGCCTTCCCACACCTCTCACCCCCGGGGGCATGGGGTGGGTGGGTGGGGGACTGGGACTACCTCTTCTGGGGTCCCCACAGTGTCTCTGTCTGTGCCGGCATCATCCAGCACAGACTCAGCTCCTTGGGGCAGGACTAGGGTCCGGCGTGGGGCGTTGCACACATGGGATTTCAGAGTAGAAGCTGCTAACTTGGGCCAGTGGGGACGGGGCAAGTCACCTGAATTAGTAAGGTGGGCCATCTGGGAGAAGCAGGGAGTGGCGGCCCCTGATGTGCACCTGTCCCTCAGGTAGGGGGTGGGGCCAGCCCATGGGAGACCCTGTGCCCTGTGTGGGTGGGCTCATTTTCAAGATCAGCTGGAAATGGAGATGTTCCAACACAGGCAACCATTCAAACTGAAACACGAATGTGCGAGCGTGAGGTCGGGACAAAGCCCGAGTGTAGGTCCTGGCCAGCAAGTAGTGGGTGTGACTTCCTGCTTATATCACCTTGGCTAGGGCCCCTGAGGCTATATACACGTTCCTTGGTGGGATGGGGGTTGGTACCTGTTAGGACCCTCCTTCCCTAGTATCTGGAGCACCTGTTTTCCCAGGAGTGCCTTCCCCTGCCCCCCAGTCCTGGCATGGAGCTTTACCAGGGCAGGGACTCTGGTCTCGAGATGCAGGATTTGAGGCCCAGAGGCCTGCTTGGGACCATAAGCTACGGGCAGGGTCTCTTCAGTGCTTAGGTCCTGCTCACCTCCTCAGGGAGCCGCCTTGGGCCAGCCTGCCTTTCCTTCTGCCCTGAGGCTTCCCAGGCTGGTGAGCACCCTCCCCCTCAGAGGCCTGGGTGTCCTAGCTCTGACCTCAGGGGGCCCTAAGGCCCCCTTCCGAGTCCCATCCAGGCCTGCCTTCACCTACTTAACTTGGGAAAGACCCCCAAGAATGATGAACCAGCCCTGCTGTGGTGAACTTAATACGTACAATTGCTCAGGGCTGCCGTCGTTGTAACAAGAGTTAGTGACAGACCTGGAAGAATTTGCTTTAGAATATCAGGCACCGAGGACCGCTACCCAGAATGGGCATCATTTGGAGGAGGTGAGCGGCTGGAACGGTTACTCAAGGCCGCAGTTTCCAAATTTTGTAGCACGTTAGAATCACCTGGGAGTAAACCCTCCATACCCCAAGGCCAAATGTCTGAGGATGATGGAAGCTGCAGCAGCTTTGAAAAATCCCTGGTGGTTCTAATGGTCATTCCCAGTTGGGAACCACTGTTGGAGGGTGTGAAAGGCTTAGAGATGAAACGGAACAGGATGCGGCATGCCACCTGGCCTGCTTACTTGTGGGGTGCTTGGTCCCAGATGCTTCATTTAATCCTTGCCAAAGCCCTAGCGGGGAGGAGCCCTGTCTCCCTCGGGCAGGAACTGAGTCACAGGGGGTTTCAACAACTGGCGCTGTGTGCGATTGGCCCAGAGCCGGTGGTCAGGCTGCTGGCTGCGGGGGCTGCCCATCTCACTGGGCCCAGCGGGTCCTACCCCTGGGCCTCCAAGATCCTGGGACACAGCTGCGCAGGTCAGGTGAGGGAGCCCCGAGGGAGGGAAAGTTAGTCGTGCCCCGAATATCGATAGGGCAGGCCTCCCACAGCCAGCAAGCTTAAGAAATTCCACAGTTTTTATACAATCATTAAAAATGAAGTCTTGGAAGACAGAGAATTAGAATAAGCAAGTTAGAAAACCGCACACAGCATGACCTCAGCTATATGGGCTGTGTGTACATGTGTGTCTTCCTGGATAGAAAAGAGACTTAAAAAGAAAAAAAGAGGGAGAGAGAGACTTAGAAGTAAACCCATCATCATTTTAACAGGTAATTTCTGGGGTCATGAGATTATGGATGATTTTTTTTTCTTTTTTAACTATTCCTTATTATCCAGATTTTCTACAATAAGTGTTATTTCTATAATCAGAAAAAGCAAATCAACTTTTGTTTCTAGAAGTCTATGACTGAAAAATGTATTGTGGTTCTGTGTGTCTTTAAGCCCCTGTCTTCTAGAGATGCGTACTAGAATATTTACATTTGAGTAAAACCATCCCTTTAATGTGCTTAAAATGATGGGGGATGGGGTGAAGGGAGAGGATGGGGACAGAGATGGAACCAGCCAGGACTTGAGTGGGCAGTGGTCACATAGGGGGTTCACTATCTACTATTCTCTTTACTTTAATATATGGGAGACATTTTCTATAATACAGAATTTTTAAAAATATGTACATTATATAGAATATACGTGTATAATATACAATAAAATGATATATGTTTGTATGTGAACAAAGGTTTAAATGCCTCAAAGACTTGTGTAAACATTTCTATGGGAACATTAGGAAAGCGCTTTTGGTTTTCTCTTGACAAGCCATTTCCTTAGAAGCCGAATGGCCTTCACTGGCAAGCCTCGGCCCCAACCACAAGCCCCAACTCCAGGGGACAGGAAGTTCCCTTTCTATGCAAGGAGGCAGACCTGGGTCTCCGTGCTCGAAGTGAGGTCACTACCCATTTCTGGAAGCCAGTTCAAGGTCTTCCGCCCTTGTGGACCTGGAATCCCCACCCCTGCTAAATGGGCCATTGTGTGAGCCCAGCTCATGTTCCAAGAGCAGGTGGGCATGAAAGCTCCCTGGTCCAGAAACAAAGAACACGGATTATGCAAGAGGCTGCGTTCTCTGGAGGCCTGGGCGCTGGCAGGGAGCCCTGGGCAGAGGAGAGGCCCAGTGAGGAGAGGGAACAGCCCTGGGGTAGGGTCTGAAGGCAGGGTTAGGACAAGACCGGATTCTGCTCAAGAATGTGTTCCCAGTGTTCCTGGAAGCTGAAAGTGACAGGAGGATGACCCTGATCCCCACCTCCCCCCCATCCCCGAACCGAACTCAGGGATTGGGGGAGACTCTGAGCCCCATCCTGAGACCAAAGTCTCCCCCATGAGGAGGACTTTGCAGAATAATCAGTGTTGTTGAGGACAGTCTGGCTTCTTGAGGAAAATCCCCTGGGAGAAATTTCTCTCAGGCCCAAAGCCTATAATGTCTAGGCTTTTCCCGAGAATTAGCTTGTCCCCATCTATAGATGTTATAAATCTTGGAACAGATTGTGTTTCTGTCTTTGCTTTGGCTACTGTGAAGCTCCAAACCAAATGTCTGACCCATCTCTCCTACCTTCATAGCACTCTATTGAATTTGCTTCTCTGTATGAACTCAATTTTGACTTTTATTTTTTCACTGATCCTTCATCTACTTTTTTGGGGGGGGTCCTCTGTATGGTCTTCCTGAAAGCTACATCATATTATTTTTGGAAGGAGACAGCTATGAGAGTGTAAACAAAAGTCCTGTCCAAACATGTTTACTATTTGTTTTTGTTGTTGTTGTTTAAGCCTCACAAGATCTCACTGAATTAGGAGGTAGGTGATTTCTCCCCTCACTCTCCTTTTTTTTAAAGTTGGTTTTTATTTTTGATACATTGTGTGTGCACATAGTTTCAGAGAGTCCAGTGATTCTCCTCACAAAACAACAGCAGCCTCCGAACACCCCTGCCCCCATTTCCTGTGCCTCAGAGGCAACTCCTTGGAATTCTCTTTGCTGCTTCTGAATAATATGCTGATGCTGCTCCTTCTGGATTTTTCAGTTTGGGGCACTTTCATGGACTTCCCAGAATGAAGAGGAGGACTTTATTCTCTTTCAGACACTCCCCCTCGCCCATTCCCACAATGCTCATCTTCCTGCCCCGCTTTTTGATGGCTCAGCCACAGCCCTCAGCTAACGTCATTTTGACTATGTAGGTACCCTTTTGTCTTCCCTGGAGTCAGTCTCTCTCCTTAGTTTTCTCTCCCACCCCTATCTCACCGGTGGGGGGACTTGGGTCCCACTCGGGGTCCCACAGCACAGTGAGGTCCTGCCTACCTCCTCTTGGGTGTGTGCCTGATGAGGCATTCCGCACCGCAGCGCCAGACCCTTCCGGGGAGACCTGGCTTGCGGTCTCTATGAACTCCCAAGGGTCGTAATCCCTGAAGCTTACCTGGAACGAGCCAAGGGCCAATTCAAAGAACCACTGGACCTCAATGGCGTCCTCTGGGGAGAAGGCGAAGATGATGTAGTGGACTCCAAAGAGGGGGATCAGCAGGAGGGTGGACTTGGCCAGGCGCCTGCAGACACAGACCCGCTGGTGTCCTGTCCCCTCCCCCCCAGCACAGCTCTGCAAGCCCCAACCTGCCAGATCGCAGAGGCCTGCAGCGGTGCCCCCAAATCTTTGTGGTTTTACTTTGTATTTTGGAGAATTTCCAGCTCCCACGTACCCATCACCCAGGGCCAGTCCTCTACACTTTCTGATCATGCACGCCATCAGGAAAAAAAAATGTGAACACATATCCACCCAAATAACTTTATTATTTATAAATTACCTGCATGTGTCATTGAACCTATTATTCACGAAACCAGCATTCTTATTTTTTTGATAATAAATATCTATAAGGAGAAGTTCTTTCATTTTCTTCCCAGATCCCAGATTAGGGTTGCTAAATTTAGCAAATAAAAATACAGGATGCCCAGTTCAATTTGAATTTCAGATAAACAAGGAATAATATTTTGGGGGAGTAAGTGCTAAAACACTATTCGTTGTTTATCCCAAATTCAGACTGAACTGGGCATCCTCTATTTTATCTGGCAACTTTATTCTGGATTCCCCAGCTCCACCCTACCGTGGCGCCCACTGCCCTAAAGATGTCCTGGAGAATCTGTCACCAAGCAATCCAGGTCACTGCCAGATTCTCAAAGCCCAGAACATCACAGAGAAGTCTTCTTTGGACACTGATTTGCCTTTAAAGATTCTGTTTTGAATTGTGTCTCCCCCACCCAAATTCACCCACTGAAGCCCTAACTGCAGGACCTCAGAAATACCTACCTGTATTTGCAGGTAGGGCCTGTAAAAAGGTGACTAAGGTAAAATGAGGTCATTAGGGTGGGACCTTAGTCCAATCACCTGGTGTCCTTATAAAAAGAGGAGGAGGCACCCAGGATTCCGGCACACAGGACAAAAGGCCAGGTAAGGGCACAGGGAGAAGGCACCCGTCTACAGTCTACAAGGCCAGGAGCAAGGTCTCAGAAGAAATCAAACCTGTGGGCGCCTGGATCTTGGGTTTCCAGCCTCCAGAACTCCGGGTAAATAAATTTCTCTTCCTTATACCATCCCACGTGTGGTGATTTTGTTATGGGGGCCCTATCAAGCTAATACAGCATCTCCCTTTAACATTTTAAAGGTTTTAAAGTATTTTTGGATCGCACATCTTGAAAGCTAGAGCCTTTCTCCCCTGAAAAATACACAGACCTATACACATTTCTCTGAATTTGGGTCCCTGAAGTCCATTGGCAGACTCCCTAACGCTGCCCCAAACACAGATCTCTGCTCCCTGGGATCCTGAGAGATTTCTTTATCTTCCCACTGCTGGACCTGCGTCTAAGGCTTCTTAGTGGACCCACTTCTCCCCACCCCCATTCCCAATTGCATCATAACCTCCTTGGAACCAGGGCCAGTTGGGTAAACCATAGGCACTCTAAATACCTGTCGACTGACTGAACGTGCCTGGGTCTTTGCCCTCCACTTACTTATAATGGCTCACTTCATTTCCTCTTGTTTCTTGGGTTCTAAGTTTTCTCATCAGGATTCTTAGAATGTTTATGAAAAGGATGAAGTTAATCTGTAAAACACAAGAGGGGGGTGTGGGCTGAAGGTGATTGCCACCTCTCCTGGCCTTGACCCCTTGGCCCTGAGGGCAGAGAAGACATTGCAGACCACACCCGGGATTGCAGGTCGCTGAGCCACCCCACCCGGCCTGCTGCCCCAGAGTCCCAGTGGAAGAGGCTGTCTGGAGGTGACGGCTGACACAGCACCCGCGCCTATCCCTGGCTGCAGGAGCTGGCATTCCCCGGCGACCTTGTTAAAAGGCAGGTCACCGGTGACCTGAGATGCTGCATTTTTTTTTCAAGATTTTATTTATTTATTTGCCAGAGAGAGAGAGAAAGCACAAGCAGGGGGAGCGGCAGGCAGAGGGAGAAGCAGGCTCCCCGCTGAGCAAGGACCCTGACGCGGGGCTCTATCCCAGGACCCCAGGATCACGACCTGAGCCAAAGGCAGACGCTTAACTAACTGAGCCACCCAGGCATCCCGAGAGTCTGCACTTCTATCAAGCTCCAGGTAATGCCAAATCCAGTCCTTGGCTACACTTTGAGTGGCAAGGCTTTCTTCTCGCAGAGGTTCTTTTTTTTTTTTTTTTAAGATTTTATTTATTTGACAGAGAGAGACACAGCGAGAGAGGGAACACAACACAAGCAGGGGGAGTGGGAGAGGGAGAAGCAGGCTTCCCACCGAGCAGGGAGCCCGATGTGGGGCTCGATCCCAGGACCCTGAGATCATGACCTGAGCCGAAGGCAGACGCTTAATGGCTGAGCCACCCAGGCGCCCCTCTCTCAGAGGTTCTTAAAGTTTTGGGTGTGGATTGGGGGCTCCCTCCCTCAGAAGTTCCAGGTCAGTAAATCTGGGGTGGGGCCCCCAAATTTGCATTTTTTTAACAAGATTGCAGGTGATGCTGAAGCTGCTGGTCTGGGGACCACACTTTGAGAACCACTGCTTCAAAGCCTTATAGAGTCACTTTGCAGTTTAATCACCAACTCCAGGAAGCCGCCCTTGATTACCTATCTTTCCTGATACATTGCAGTTAGGGATCATGTTACTGTGTAAGCACTTGAAATATTTGAAAGAGGCCAAACACATGCACCTGTCAAAGTTGTGTGTGTCTACTTACCTGTCAATTCAATAACTTCCTAAAGGACAGGAATGCAGTCTCATTATTTCGTTTGGTGTCCCCTCCCCCCAGCCCAGTGCCAGAATGTTATAAAGGTGCTCACGTGGCGCCCAGTACCTCTCCTCCTCTCTCACCCACCTACCAGCTCCAGAACCATTTAGAGAAGAAGGGATCAGTGGAATCGCCCAGCCGGGCACCCTCATTGTTCACACAACCAGCCTGGGGCGTGGGAATGCTGGCCAAAAGACAAGGATTAGTGCCTGTCCAGGACTTCTAGCCCACCTGCCTCTTTGAGAACTTTGCTTCTCAGCTTGTTGTTTATGCATCTTGCTCGGAGCTGGCGATGCATGGTGTAAATGAATAAAGGCTATTTTACTTTTATTTATTTTTTTAATCTTAGAGTTGCATTTAACTTCATAGGGAGCACTTGAAGGCAAAAATAAAAACAAAAACAAAAACAAAAAACCCCCAAAAACAAAAAATAAACTTTAAGCTCTCAAGAATGAGTCCTAAATAGTGGAATTCTAGGCCCCATGACCTACTGGTTAGGAGATGTTTTTAAGTTCTTATTTATTTATTTAAGTCATCTCTACCCCCAGTGTGGGGCTTGAACTCACAACCCCAAGATCAAGAGTCGCATGCTCTACAGACTGAGCCAGCCAGGGGCCCTGTTGGGAGATTTTGCATCAGGAGTGCTCACCAAACATCACTAGAGAGACCAGAGTCTGGTGAAATCCTCCAGGACCCCCGGGGTCCATCGTCCCTCAGCCGGGGCTCTCCTGGGCGGCACGGTCAGAGCCGCAGAATGACGGCAAGGAAACGGGCCTAACTAAAGGAAGAAAGACCCTCCTATGGGAATACTATGCAGCCAGAGCACATCGGTGGATCAAATAATTTCAAAGGCCACGGGAGGGACGCCTGGGTGGCTCAGTCAGTTAAGCGTCTGCCTTCGGCTCAGGTCATGATCCCAGGGTCCTGGGATCGAGTTCCGCATCAGGCTCCCTGCTCCGCAGGGAGCCTGCTTCTCCCTCTGCCTCTGTCTCTCTCTCTGTCTCTCATGAATAAATAAAAAAAATAAAATCTTTAAAAAAAAATATATATATATATATATAAAAAAGGTCACGGGAGAGCTCACATCTGCTGCTAAGTGAGAAAGCGAACTAGTATACAAAACTCTATTAAGCATTTTGAAAAAAAGTGTGTGTGCTCAAAGAAAAAGATAGGAAGGAAAAGCACATGTGTATTCACAGTGTGTGTCTCAGTGCTAAAAGTATGTGTGATTTTATTTCCTTTTGGAAAACACATTTTGTATCTTCCAACTTTTTTTGACATGAATTCTATTATTTTGGGGAAAAAAAAAAAGAAGAAGAAAAGAAAAAAGAAGGAGGTCCTGGAATGGCCGCCTCCTCCCAACTGCCCCCTGGAAGGTCCACGAGCCAGCCAGTGAAAGAGGTGGGTGGGGGCTGCTGCCCTGGGCTGGACCCCACCCCACCCCCCACCCCCTACCCCCCTGCAGCAGATCCACGAAGGGAGCTTCCTGCCAAAGGGTCCTGCGGCCGTGGTGTCCCTCGGAGCCCTGCACACAGCTGCGGGGCTGATTCCTTCCAGGAGACAACCCCGGTGGGTCCCCCGCCCGCTGTCCCCCTATTTCCTGTCTCTACCCACAGGCTCAGCTCCAGGCGTCCCAACCCTACTGCAGAGCAGAAGCACCTGAGAACTTAAACCCCCGCTGAGCGCTCAGGCCCCTTCCCAGAACGAAGAGAGCCCGAATCTCTGGCTATCCGGAGATAGTTGAAACAACTCCCAGGGGATTCTGAAGGGCAGCCCGGTTGAGACACTCTGAGCTCCCTGTCCATGAGAGTCGCTCCTGTATCTTCTCCCTGGGGGCCACCCCTTCAGGCCTGCCCCCCCCCAACAGCACCCCAAAGGCCCAAGACCAAGCCTCACTGAGCTTTCCCCAGCCCCATCCTATGATCCCAGCTCAGTGATTCTTCTCAGTTTAACAAGAGGAACGCCTAGAAAAAAGATCAGGACCCAGAGATCCGAAGGGGGCGCATTTTGGGCCAGCGCAGAGCCAGCCAGTGTAGGGCAAGGAGCTCTGCTCACTACATTTTAGTGGCCACTCACGAACCAAAGAGAGTTATGTAAACTTTTGCCCCTCATCCCACTCGCACCCCCCAGCCCCCATTCTCCCATCCCCCATCTAGACCCTCATGCTGCTGACCAGCCTCTGGAAGCTCTGTGGTTCATCCCTCCCCGCTCCTGAAGGGAACAAAGCTAGCGCTCTCTCTTGGCCTTCTGTCCAGGCCAGTCACTCTTTCCGTCTCTCCCACTGGAGCCCAGCTCGGCAAGACGGCCACTCACCAGGATGGAGAGGATCACGGGCCCCCGAATGACCCACCAGATGGACGCGTTGGCGTTGATGTCCCAGCACCTGTGGAAGGACAGCCAGGCATCGTTAGGAGTGGAGAGCTGAGGGGACCAGGAAAGACTAGTTCCCTCAAGTGCTCTTCTGAGCAAGGATCCATGCTGGTGGCCCCGAGCACTGCGGCTGGGTGCCCAGCCCTGTTAGAACTGACCCTCTCCGGCCGCCCGGGAGCACTTCGGAGGCCGCTGGAGCAGCCCCCCGGTCCGCGCACTCGCCCAGTGAGTGTCCGGGGCAGCGGACCTGTGTGGCACCTGACAGCCAGAAGATCCCAGAATCCCAAAGCGAGCGCAGTGACAAACTCAACTGCCAACAAGGGCCAGGCAGGTGACATCAGTGAGTGAAGTGGCTGGGTAACTGACATGTGGCCTCAGGACCCTGGGACATCAGGTGTGGGGGGGTACTTGGCAAGCTGGAGAGCATGCGTGGGGCCTAAGGCAGCCACATCGGCTCCGGCTGATTTTTGCCACAAGGGAAAATGAGAGATGTTGGTAGAATTTCCCATGTTCTCCAGAGAAGCTAAAAATCCAGATTTTACAAAAAATCGAATTCACCCAATTAAAGTAATTCTTTTGAAATGATTATTTGGGGCCAGAGGTGGACCGAAAGACACTGGCAAGCCTCATCCGACCAAATCCACATCCTGGGCTGGTTGCATCAGCATGTCCTGGTTGCATCGCATGTCCGTGAGAAACTGCCTCTGCTTTGTCAGGCCGCCTCACTTCCTCCTCGGCTTCTCTCCTCGTGCCTACTTCCCAGCAGGCTCCCCTGCGCTTACCTCCACCCTCAGCGCCTGGCAGCTTTAGAGAAAAGACTAGATCTCTCTGTCCCCATCAGGAGTCACTGGGAATGCCGCTCTCCTACACCCACCTCCCGGACTCTCACACAGCACCCCTCCCCACCCCAGGGGTAGGGAGGAGCAGAGGAGGGGATCCCAGGAGGAAGGAGAAGCTTGGTTGGCCCAGAGCTGCCTCACTGAGTGGCACCTGCCTGGACTTTCATGGCTCCTGCCCAGCACCTGCTTTCCACAGAGCTGATGGTGTGGGCAGGCCCAGGAGGGTGCGGACACGGTAGAGGCCACCACCCATCTGCAAGCTCACACCAGCCCAGCACTCCAGAGTACTCGCCTGTGGGCCCCCTGCCCCCCGCACCCCCCCCCCGCCGTTTAAAAAACAAGCTTCTTCTAGATAGCTCCAAAGAAGTGCCCATCCTGCTTGAAGAACTGGACAATATAAAATACACTCTTGTTACCTCTCTTCAGCTTACCCGACATCTTCCAGAAAGTGCCTGCTGATAGCCCACGAAGCAACAAAAATGGCCGGGGAACCTGAAGATTAAAAATAAAGGAGGGGGGCGCCTGGGTGGCTCAGTCGTTAAGCGTCTGCCTTCGGCTCAGGTCATGATCCCAGGGCCCTGGGATCAAGCCCCACGTCGGACTCCCTGCTCAGCAGAAAGCCTGCTCCTCCCTCTCCCACTCCCCCTGCTTGTGTTCCCTCTCTCGCTGTGTCTCTCTCTGTCAAATAAATAAATAAAATCTAAAAAAAAAAAAAAAAAAAAAAAAAAGGAGGGAGCGGGGAAAGGGGACTCAATTTTCAACACCCCTGTAAGGGAACAGGGCAGCTCACCCAGCCTGGGAGTGAGCAGGTGTCACAGAAACCCCCTTGTAAATCCTGTGCAAACAAATCCTTGTAGCTTCCTGCTTCTAGGGTACCAGGCATGCCCTGCAAACTGAGGCAGAATCAGAGGTTCTTGAACGCCAGGAGGGGCACAGAGTGTCCTGGGAGCCTGGGGCAGACTCGGGAGGCCCTCTGCAGGGAAGAGAAGGGAGAAGTGATGGTCTACAGCTGGGCTGTCCTGGGCAGCGGCCGCTCTCCCCACGTGGCTACGGCCTGCTTGCCATGTGGCTGGTCCCACAGCACATGTGCAGTAAGTGTAAGCCACCCGATTTTGAAGACTTAGTAGAATGTGAAATATGCTAATTTCTATATTAGTTATATGCTGACATGAAAATATTTTTATACCGGGTTAAATAAAATAGATTATTGAGGTTAATTTTACCTGCTTCTTTTTACTGTGTTTACTGTGGCTACTAGAAAATTTTAGGGTATATATGTGGCTCATTGTATTTCTAATGGACGTGCTCGTCCACACCGGAAAATGATAACAGCCCCGTCCCTGGGCTGCTCAGGTTTCAGACCTCCAGCAGCCAGGTTTACATCCAGGCAGGAGATGAAAGAATTTTTCTCTGGAGGAATCCAACAGCCCCAGACAAAGGGCCTATAGATGGCGATGCTGGGGACCCCTTCCAACACAGTGGCCACTTCCAGCCCAGTCTCCCTTGAGAGACATGCCCCGCCACCCCACACATGGGGTCTTCAGTCCGCTCTGAAGTGACTCATTCTTAAACATGAACAGTCAGTCAAGGTCACGGACATCTGAGGAAAGCTGATTACATAAAAGACAGGGACCAAAACAATCAGAGAGAAGGAACTCAAAGGAAACAGACCGTGCAGGCTGCAGGAGGAACTTAAACAAAACAACTCTAAGGAATATCATCAGAGAGATAAGAGGAAAGATTACATCTGCAAGACCCAAACAGGATGCCGAAAATAGGGAGCAGTCTGAGAACAAGGAAGAGGGCTTAGAAATTGAATATATGATAACCAAGATAAAAGACTCCATAGATGGGTTGGAAGATAAGGACCAGGAATCGCCCGGAAAGCAGAACACAAAGAGTGGAATGAAAAGTAGGAGGAAAGACACGAAAAAATCAGAGGTCAATTCCAGGATATGCGCCATCTGATTAAAAGTTTCAGAAAGAGAGGATAAAAACCCAAGGGAAAGAAATCAAATAGGTGATGTAAGAACATGGTCCAAGAAATGAAGGATGTGAATTTCCAGATGAAAGGACCACCGGATGTCAGCAAAAAGGATGAAATCACCTCGAGTTGGGGCACATCCCTAGGGCATTTCAAAACAGAGGGGACAGAGAGAAGACCCTGCAGCTTATGTAGAAAGAGATGAGTAAAAATGCCCAGGGAAGAAGAATAACATGGCAGGGGCGCCTGGGTGGCTCAGTCGGTTAAGCATCTGCACTCAGCTCAAGTCATGATCTCAGTGTCCTGGAATGAAGCCCCACATCAGGCCCCCTGCTCAGTGGGGAGTCTGCTTCTCCCTCTGCCTCTGCCCCTTGCCTTCTGCCCCTGCTTGTGCGAGTGTTCTCTCTCTCTCACTCAAATAAATAAATACAATCTTAAAAAAAAAAAAAAAAAGAATAACACGGCACATCCTGTAACATCAGATGCCCAAACAGAAAGCCTCCAAAATCCTAGGAGAAAACGATTTTTTCAACCTAAATTTTTGCCTAGGAAAACTATAAATTAGGTGTGAAAGTTGAAAAAGATTTTCAGATATGCAATGCAAAAACATGTACATTCCACGAACTCTTTGCTAGACAGGTGCCGGAGCACGTGCTCCAACACCACCAGGGAGCAACCACGGAGGAGATAAGAAATAAAGGAGGAGCACCGGGGTGGCTCAGTCGGTTAAGCGTCTGCCTTCAGCTCAGGTCATGATCCTGGAGTCTTGGGATCAATCCCCCAGTTGGGCTCCCCGCTCAGCAGGGAGTCTGCTCCTCTCTCTGCCATTCTCCCTGCTTGTGCTCTCTCTCTCAAATAAATAAATAAAATCTTAAAAAAAGAAAGAAAGAAAGAAAAAAAGGAATAGGATTTATAGAGGGAAATGAAGGAAATTCTCAGCATGAAGGGTAAGGGAATTGAGCAAGTCTAGAGAACAACCAGCCCAAATAGGGCAGGAAATCAGAAGGCTCTAGAAAGAACATTGTTGGCTCTATCAGGTTGAAAAGCATCCTCCCTAAATTCCTATCTACCCAGAACCTTAGAGTGTGACCTTATTTGGAAATAAGGTCTTAGCAGGTGTAATTAGTTAAGAAGAGGTCATACTTAGAAGGATGCCAGTCATATGGGGGACCTAATCCAATATGACTGGCATCCTTATGAGAAGACCATGAGAGACACAGAGCAGAAGAACACACAGCGGAAAGAAGGCCACGTCAACACGGAGGGAGAAATCACAAGGATGCAGCCACAAGCCAAAATCCGCTTGGACTGCCAGCAGCGACCAGAAGCTGGAAGAGAGAGAGGCATGGAGCAGTTCAGAAGGAATCAACCCTGCCAGAACCTTGATTTCGAACTTCTGGCCACCAGCACTGTGAGAGAATAAATTTCTATTGTTTTAAGCCACCGAGTTTGTGGCAATTTGTTTACGGCCACCCATAGGAAACGAATACAGCAGGAAGAAACCAACAAATAGGAACTAATAGATTTCCTGTTGGCATGGGATGATCAGGAAACAGCACTGGAGAGTTTTCCAGTGCTCTGGGTGAACTGGGGGGAATTAAGGACAGCAACATAAAACAAATAAGTCAATCAAAAGTGACTCCGTAAAAAACGAAAGGTTAACTATTGGAAGTAAAATCATTGTACACCACTCGGCTCAGCAGTAAACATTTACATAGATATAAGGATACATACATAGAATAGGACTTTTTTTTTTAAAGATTTTATTTATTCATTCGACAGAGAGAGAGTGAGCACAAGCAGGGAGAGTGGCAGGCAGAGGGAGAAGCAGACTCTGCTGAGCAGGGAGCCCGACGCGGGGCTCGATCCCAGGACCCTGAGATCATGACCTGAGCCGAAGGCAGACGCTTAACCGACTGAGCCACCCAGGCACCCCGCTATTTAATTATTTAAACCAAGTATGTGCATGACTTTAATAAAAATAATATATATATTTTTTAATTCCTTGGCTCAATTTTGGATGCTTTGGGCAAAGAACATGGGTTCTGAAGGGCCACCTGTTCGTTGTCTCCCATCTTTAACAGAGTTGGCAGAAAGTGGGAAAACCAATAATGGCTCAAGTTAGGGTTTCTTAGTGTGGTCCCCAGACTATCAGGATCAGAGTCACTTGGGGCCTTGTTAGATGTGAGGAGTCTCTGGCTACACCCAAGGCCAACTGGCTCAGAGGCACTGGGCGGGGGATCCAGCCAGCTGGGCTTGACACACCCTCCATGTGACTCTGATGCTGGCTCCAACTGGAGAGCCACCAACTCAGTGAGTGGGAGCTTGGTTCATCCCCACAAAAGCCAGAGGTGTCACCCTTTTCTGGGTGCAGACAGACACCCCAGCCACCTTGAAAAAGTAAAAGTGTTGGGTAAGTATTAAAAATCTTGGGGCGCCTGGGTGGCTCAGTCGTTAAGCGTCTGCCTTCGGCTCAGGTCATGATCTCAGGGTCCTGGGATCGAGCCCCGCGTCGGGCTCCCTGCTCAGCGGGAAGCCTGCTTCTCCCTCTCCCACTCCCCCTGCTTGTGCTCCCTCTCTCGCTGTGTCTCTCTCTGTCAAGTAAATAAATAAAATCTTCAAAAAAATTTAAAAAAAAATCTTAAAAGTGCCCACTCCTTTTGATCCAGTGATCCCAATTCTAGGATCCCATATTACACATGGAAATAAGCTTTGTCCATAAAAGTATTTATCACTGTGTTACTTATAATAGTGGAAAATTAGAAACAACCAAATGTCCATACAATAGGTATTTGGTTAAATAGGTACAGAGATGAGTTAAAAATGTTTATGGCAGAGGTGGAAGAATACAGAGCATGCCTGTGTGTCAATAGAAAGAAACAAGATTCAGAATTCTACATTTAGAATGACCACAACAGGGGCGCCTGGGTGGCTCAGTCGGTTAAGCATCTGCCTTCAGTTCAGGTTATGATCCCAGGGTCCCAGAATCAAGTCCTGCATCAGGCTCCCTGCTCAGCGGGGAGCCTGCCGCTCCCACTGCTTGTGCTCGTGTTCTCTCTCTCTCTCTTTCTCTGACAAATAAATAAATAAAATCTTAAAAAAAAAAAAGAAAAGAATGACCACAACAATGCAGAGAAAAACTCAGTAAGAAAAATAGTCTGGAAGAAAACCCCCCAAAATGTTCATTAGATGAGACCAGGGTAATTTTTTTCTACTTAATTTTATTTTTTGCAGTTATACAGTGAGCATGTACTCATTTAAGCAACCCATCTCTGGGGAAACAAGTTGCATACAAATTGAGGAGGGGTCCCTGCTTTTGCAAGAGAAAGGCTTCTCCCAGACGGAAAACTTTAGACCTTCCTAAGTCCCTTCAAGGTCTCCTTGGGGTGGTGCAGGCAGAGAGACCAGGAGGGGAGGAACCTCTGCCTTATGTGCTGTTCTATCTCAGGGCCTTGCATTATTTGAGAAAGAAAGGAAGGTTCTCATAATCTCACTTAAACCCTCCTAAAAATCCATGGGGCGCTGGGTGGCTCAGTTGGTTAGGCATCTGCCTTCGGTTCAGGTCATGATCTCAGAGTCCTGGGATCGAGTCGCATCAGGCTCCCTGCTCAGCAGGGAGTCTGCTTCTCCCTCTGCTTCTCCCCATCAGCTTGTGCTCTATCTCTTCTCTCAAATTAATACAAACCTTTAAAATAAAATAAAATAAAATAAACCCTCCTAAAAATCCGTGACGGAGATGTTGCAATGCAATTTTGTCTCCCTGCTTGATACGACCTCTTTGAATGATGGAACTGTTTTTGTTTCTGTAATCTCTAGAAGCCCCTTTGAGCACAAAGAAATGCTCGAAGAAGTTGAAAAAATTATGATCCTGATATTACAGATAATGAAACTGCCTATATTCACATGATGAGATCCTGGCAGATCTGGGAGTCAAGGTCAGTGAACGAGGTTCCAAATGGGGTCCTTTTTTGGGGTCAACTGCATAAGGCAGGTCCCTGGTTCCCCAGTACTCTGGGACTACTGTTTTCTGCAGAAATCCAAAGATCTGCAGAGTACCACAGCTCCCACTGGCTAAGGGTTATGTGCTAATCAGGCTGCCAAAGTCTACAGGAAGGCTCGGCAAGCTCTGGCAGCTCAGGTGACTTCCCTGATGTGAGGAGATGGGGCCCTTGCATGGAAGGATTTAGACAAGCAGAAAAGACAGGGCTTTCCTGGCAGGGGCACTTCTTAATTAAAGGCACTAAGAAGAAAGAAAATGAAATTAATGGCTGGTACACATGACTATCCCTGTAAGCATATGAGTCACTCAGAGGAACCTGGCTATCTTTCTAGAACCCAATGGGTAACTTACATATGTTTATCAAATGAACAACGGATGGATGGATGGATGGATAGACGGACAGACGGATGGATGGGTACATGGATGGATGGATGGATGGATGGATGGATGGATGGATGGATGTTTGTTAATGGCAGAATAAGAGTTAAGGGGCCTTTGGAAACAGGCAAGCCTTGGTTTGAATCCTGGGTCTGCCCTTGTTTACAGTGTGAGCTGAGCATATTACATCCCGTCTTTTAGCAGGCTTCTTTGAAGGGCCTCTGGAGGTTGTGGTGGCAATTAATTAATGCATGTAAACTGCCCTGCTCATAGTAAGTGCTCAAGAAATGGAGTTATCATCTTCATTGATCAGAAAAGAAAGGGGGAAGAGAAAGAATGCGGCCTGCAGTTGGCTACCTGACTGCCATTTCCCCTCCTTCCTGCAAATGAACCCTGAAATTCCTTTGGGAAGCCATGTGGTTTGAATAGCTTAAGCCAATCAGTGTATTCCATTCACTCAGGCCTCTGTGATTGGCTCAGGACGTGTCTGAGACAAGCTGGTCCAATCAGAGTGAACCTCAGAGTATTTGTTGGGAATGCTGGGCTTTTTTCTCTCATTAGGTACAACAAGGAAGCTGGTAGCCCAGAAGCTGTTGGCAGTTACACTGGGAGCACCAGCCTAGAGATCAAGCTGACGTTACAGAAGGCAAAGTCGAAAGGCACAAAGAAATGTTGTTGAGCTGCTGGATCCAGCCTCACCTGAGGCTGGTGATCCTTGGCCTTTTCAGATACATGAGCCAATGCTTTCTTTTATGTTTAAAGCTGATCTAAGCCAGATTTTCTGATACCTACAATCAAAAGTACACTAACTGATATAGAAAGGAAGCAAGAATGAAAATACATGAATGGAACGTCTAAGGAAGATGAAGCAACAAGCGTTGGTTGGTATCAAATGGTAAGAGACTTTGGGTGGCCAAAGCTGGGGCTACATTTTAACTGTGAATTCCTACTTGACATACAAGTAAACCAAAGCCAGGGGGTTAAACAATAAGTAACTTGCCTAAGATTCCACAAATTAGCTAACTTAACTGTGTGTGGAGCTGGAACTAGAAACCGAATCTTCTGGCTCAGTGCCTGTTTCCACATACCCCTGCCGTTCTGCCCATGGAGAAACATACCCCATCCGAGGGCAACAAATCCCCGGAGGCACTTCCTTTCAGAGAAGAAGGAGATGACGAGGAGCGTGTGAAGGTAGAGGCCTTCCACCAGCAGCCAGGCGTAGTTGGCCATGATGCAGTACTGGAAGAAAGCCATGACCAGCTTACAGCCCACCTGCAAGGAGAGAGGCAGGTGAGCCCCAGGGCTGGGCAACAGCGGGCTCCCCACTGGCGGCCACCCCTGAAGGACGTGACAGGGCGCAGGAGGGGTCAGGTCGCAGAGAGAGTCTCTAAGGGCTCCTGGCCATCCCCTGTGGCTGTCCACTCTCAGAAGGCCAGGCCCAGGAGTTCTCTAGAGGGTGGAAGTCCACATGCCAAGAGGCTCAGCCAAGAAGGCTAACGGGCCATCACAGAAGTAGGCAGTGCATTCGAACCCTGGAGCTGACCGCCAGCAGTAAAATCTGTGTCACATAGGGCCCAGCTCCCAAGTGCCTCCTTTGCAGATGAGCACCAGGCTGAGAGAAGGAAAGGGATTTCTGAGCCAAGGAGTAACAAAATCCTTTCCAAGCTCTTTCCCCGGAAACAGATGAAGAAGGGACGTACCAATTATGTTAGGAGGGCAACATTGATTATAGTGAAAATGGCCCCCAATTGGCACACTGCGTCTGTTCTGGAGACCTCTAACTACCAGATGGGGGGCCAGTGCTAGCCTTGCCTGACGCAGTGACTTGTTAGAGGCCTGTCTCTTGCGGGGATCGCCGGAAGCTGTGCCTGGGGACTTGTGGGGCCCAAGGCTTCCGTCCCAGCAAGGCAACCATTCCCATGCGGCAAGGGTCCCCTTTCCTTTCCCTGAGCTGTCCCCTGGGGAGAGGACAGCTTCTGGGATGGCCCGAGGGCTGCTACATGGGCTACGTGGAGGTCACATCCACGGAGGAGGAGAGGCCGGTGTTGCCCTCCGGCCTCCTGCAGACTTGGATTCCGGGGGGCGCCCGTGGTTGGCCCAGGAGTCTGATGTTTGGTGGAACCCAAGAAGGTTCCCTGCGGGACACTGCTGGACTTCTCCACTGCTGGTCAGTGAGGTGGGGGGCCTGAATTTAAGTCTTCTGACTCTCACTCTGGTACTCTTACTTCATCCTGACAATATCCTGAAGGGGGATTCAGCTGGAGTCAGAAAACACACACACACACAACTATGAACAACACAAACTTAACAGATCCGTAAAGAATTACAGATTTGAGTGGTGGGAAGTGACAGGGAGGTTGACCGAACCAATCTCAAACTCCAATCCCTTCTCCCTTGTTTTCCTCTGCTATGGAGACTATGATGGTAAAAAAAATCCGATCTCCCAGCTTCCTTTGCAGTTAGGTGTGGTCCCATGACACGGTTCTAGCCAATGAGATGTAGATAGGTGTCTTGGGGCAGGCATTCTTTCCCACCCTAAAAAGGCAAAGCTGCCCAAAGACAAAAACTGTTTAACCCTGACTCTCTTTTTTGACTGGAACATGCATGTGAGGCCTGGGGCTGCAACAGCCATGTTGTAAACAAGCAGTGTTAAAGCATGGCATCAAGCACGCTGGAGCAGAAAGAGGGAAAAGGACTGTGTCCACCACTGCATCACGGAGCCGCCGTACGACCTCTGGATTGCCCATCTGTGGATGGCTGATGTGGGAAACAAACCCCATCCGTTTGAGCCACTGATGTGCTGTGTTCTGGTATATGCTGCAAAAGGGATTCCCAACTGATACGCAGAGCAATATTGCAAAGAATTAAGAGTTATCTGAGCATTCAGAAGGAGGAAGGGGGTTAGATTTAACAAAACAATTGTTTTGCTACAGACCTGTGTTTGCAGAACCTAGGCATATGTTCGCACTTTTCTTTCTACACCCAACCCCAGCCCTCTTTACACCTGGCCATCTGTCCATAGCTGGGACTTGGCAGGTGGAGGGAAAAGACGAGCCTCACTATGTATCTAATTGCCAGAGTGGCTAAGCCACTCCTGGATGCTGGGAGTTGAAGGGCAGCCCCCAGTGGCCTCCTGACAAACTGCCCTCATACATGACCCAGACTGTGCACATGGAGACATGGGACTCTCCCCAGGCCCCCTGGCCCAGCACTAGGCATTAAGTGCAACCTCAGCTGGGACGTGGGGGAAAGACAAGGGGGCCACCACCCTCTCCCAGAGTTGGGCTGAGTGTGGGCAGCCTGGCCACACTCGGGGCCATGCAGGCATGTTACCCTTTGGGCATCACAGTGAGCGACATCGTCCGAGGAGAAGAGCACGGCGTCCTTGATGAAGTTGGACAGGGCACGCAGGATGAAGGACACAAAAAGGTGCATGTGGATGTAGTTGCGGGTGCAGTGAAGCCTCCTGGAGAGAGAGAATGCAGGGCCATGGGGGCCAGAGCCACAGGAGCGCGGCCGCTTCTTAGCTAGACGACCTTGACCTCGGGCAAGCCTTTTCACCTTCCAGAGCCTGAGTCTCCTCCTCTGTGGGAGGGGTCAGAGGTCTGTTACTCTTTCCCCATCTTCTGGTACCAGAAGCAAGCTTTCTTATGGGGAACCCATTCCAGCTCTGAGTGGGGGTGACTCCATCCTCCCACCCTGTTGATAGACCTGACCAATCAGAGTACTCCACCCCTGGCTGCCGTGACTGGCTCAGGTTGGGCATGTGACCCAAGCCCAGCTTATGAGATATCCCCACCCCCATCCCCACCCCAGGACTTTGATTGCAACTAATGGGGAAGAAGCTCTCCTTGTCCTGGTGTGGCCGAGCCGGTGGAATGTACCCCTGAGGCTGCTGGTGGTTGTCTCTGTCACCCCTGCTGAGAGCCTACCTGAGGATGAGGCCAAGGCAGAGTCGAGAAAGGGAGGGAGATAGACCTAGTTCTGCTGATACCTTTGAGCACCTAGATACAGCCATTCCTAAAGCCAGCACCCCTGACCTTGTCAATTATGTGGGTCAGGTCACCTTTGTTTACTTAAACTGTTTTAAGGTGGATTTCTGTTTCTTGCAACCAAGAGTCTGGCTAACACACTTGTAAAACGGGGGTAATGATACCCATCTTATAGCATTGTGTGAAAATTACAAATAGTACATGTGCAGTAAGTTCCTCGTTACACACAGTAACTGTGGAATGAATAAAAAATATGAACAAGATCACAGGAACGTCAGTGTTTGGCCACGGGTAAGGTTTAGATCAAGAGGTCACCAAGTGGCCCACCCAGACCTTCCTTTCTCTGGCCTGAGTAATTTAAGGAGACCCAAATTCTGTGCCTGTGGAAGGCTGGGGAGACAGAGAGATGGCAATGTGTTCTCACCGGAAAGCACAGAGGATGCTGAGGGCGACCAGGAGCATCACCAGGGAGGAGCTATAGCCCACGGTGTACATGACCTTCAGCTTCATCAGGTACTCGTGCTGCAGAGAGAGGCATGTGTCAGCCCCACCCACCCGGTGGCTGGGCTTTTTTCTGCCTCAGAGTGTACCTGCTCAGGCAGCTGGAACCTTTCAATACTGACTGCTCTGCTGATCAGATTCCGCGGACCTCAGCTCATAGACTCGGAACACCTTGGCTTTGGAGAAGATCTCGGGGATCATCTGATGCCAACTCAAACTTCTACCCCATGCGTAGTGCCCCTTACCATCACCCTGAATTCAAGCCTTTGCTTGAATACCTCCAGGGATATAGGCTCACCTGGCCTTTTGAGGAAGTCATCTGGTATACAAGGGTGCAAAATATTAGGTCATTTTTTCTCACATGAAGCTAAAATCTATTACTTTTAAATTGCTCCTATTGGTCTTTTTTCTGGACCTACTTTTGGAACCACTTGAAATAAATTGAATTTGTCTGTATCTAAGGCCTAGCATTATTTTTTTTTTTAAGATTTTATTTATTCATCTGACAGAGAGAGACACAGCGAGAGAGGGAACACAAGCAGGGGGAGGGGGAGAGGGAGAAGCAGGCTTCCTGCTGAGCAGGGAGCCCGATGCGGGGCTAGCATTATTTTTTTTTAAATAAACTTTGCATTTTGGAATCGTTTCGGGCTTCTAGAAGGGTTGCAAATATTGTACAGAGAGATCTGTCATTTCTTAATACAGCTCTTCTACCCGCTCGTCTCTCACATATAGTCTCAGCATTACATTTTTCCTGTGTCTTCAATCTCTTTCCACGATCCTTCACCCTTCTGCTCAATTAATATGCTCTGTTGTCACCGTCCTTCCTAAATAAGACACCCAGAACCGAGAGCTGGAAAGCTCCAATGTACTCTCTGAGCAGGAAGGAGAAGAGTGGGACCATCACCTCTCCTGATCTCTACACTGCACTCATATGGATGCAGCCCACAGCCACTTCCCATTACTGACTCATCTTTGATTCAGAAAGAATCTCAATGGGATGGGAAAAGGCGACATATAAAGATAAATGTAAAACCTGCATCTTTTAGGTTAAAAAAAAAACAAATTGTGCGACAGCCTTAAAAAGAATCAAAGAAATGAAAATTAAACCAATAATGCTATACCATCTGTTCCCAACCAAATGAACTAATATTTACAGGCAATAATATTCTATGCAGCTGAGGGTAGAGGGGGACCAAAAATTGCTTCAATCTCTCCTGAAAGTAGCATGTATCAAGAACCTTTAAATATGCATTCCTTTTGACCTCCCTTCTACCTCTAGGAATTAATTCTAAGACATTAGCACACACACACAAAGAAATAAGCACAAAAGGAAAAGCGTATTTATACATCAAGATGTTGATCACAGAACGATTAGTGATGAAAAACACTCAAATGTCCAACAATAGAACAATTAACTAAATTATTTTAAATCAGTATTTTAATGTATGCTGCCATTAAAATGCTGCCTACCAAGCGTTTTAAAAGATGTCAGCACGTGCTAAGAATGTAACATTATGTGAAAAAGCAGAATACAAAATTTTTTTTAAAGATTTTATTTATTTATTTGACAGAGAGAGACAGCGAGAGAGGGAACACAAGCAGGGGGAGTGGGAGAGGGAGAAGCAGGCTTCCCGTGGAGGAGGGAGCCCGACGCGGGGCTTGATCCCAGGAACCCAGGATCATGACCTGAGCCGAAGTTAGACGCTTAACTACTGAGCCACCCAGGCACCCCCAGAATACAAATTTTATATGTACAGTGTGATTCCTGCTATCTGTTAAAAAAAAGTATTAGGTTGAATTACATGAAATTGCCCTCTTTTGTAGATCAAATGATTGAGTACCGGCCATTTCATGTGGTTCAATCTCATACATGCATAAACCATAAGGCTGTAAAAAGATGTGATAGAGGTTAATAATGGTTAACTTTGGAAGATAAGTTTGTGGACAGAGTTGTTATTTTTATTTTATTTTTTTCTACACTTTTCATTTCTCCCCAGAGGGTAAGTACTATTTTATAACCAGAAGAAAAAGGTAATTAATCTAAAAAAAAAAAAAAAAAAGGCACAAGAATAGTATTGGGGAAACCTTGCTGACAGCTGTTCATATGAAAATGACCTTGAGGTTCAAATGTCCCAAGCTCCATGGCGTTAGGAAGTGTACTGCAGGGAAAGAATGCAGGCTTCAGAGCCGAGACAAAGTTTCCAAACCCAGGACTGTTACTCACCAGCTATGTGACCTTGGGCAAATTACTTAACTTCTCTGAGCCTCAGATTCCTCATCTGCAAAATGGGGGATAATATCTACCTTGCAGGCTTGTCGGAAGAGCAAATGAAGTATCAGTTAGAGTATCTAGACTGACACTTACAAGACACTCAGAGCATGTTAATTTTTCCCCACCTCTACCCCTCACCCCCATCATCCACCCTTCAACACGAGTCATGGGTCCAAGATCACGGTATGAAGTATGAGTTATAAAGAAGCTATATTGCATTCTCAGTTACAATAACGGAGTGCTGTGGGACACCGAACAACACTGGAACGTTTGGAGTGTTTTGTCCAGTTCTGGGCATGCTATTTTAAGAGGCACATTAATAAACTGGAACATTTCCAGAGAAGGGAAGAGTGCATGAAAAAACTGGGTACATTGCACCCCGAGGAAACAAACAAATAAACTTGGGAAAAAAAGTATTAGGACGATTGACAGGTAGAAGCATTAGCTCCAGGGGGAGGAAGCTACCAAAAATATATCTGACTCAGTGACCAAAACTTTTCTGAGAGCAAGAGGCAACCTTTGATGGGCTGGCTGCCATGTGACATTGAGCTTCCCCACTGGTGTGACTGTGATCCCAGAAGCCAGGAGCCACCTCTCAGGAACGTAGATGAGAGCCGAAAGGACAGTAGGTTGCCCTAGATTCATGGTGCCTTGACTTTGGGACATCAAAGAGCAGTCAAATGTCAAGAAATTAGTGGATCGATGATGTGTCGGCCTATAATCTTGCCATGGGCAGGATGAGCCCCAGACCTGAGGGCATGAGCCTCGCTCCTAGGACCACCTGGCTAGCAGCTCTCAGTTCAGAAGCGGATTTGGGCCAGTCTGTGACAGCATGAGGAGGCACAGGGTGACAGTATGGGGCGTTCAGGCTGAATGTTCTGCATTGGCCTGAGGCTGGGCGGATTGTCTGCCAGGGAAGCCTCAGGACACCAGCTAACTCCACTTGTCCCTGCATTATGTGTGTAAATTCTGATCCAGAAAGAGCCCTGCTCCCAGGAGGCCTGATGTGACCTCAGCGCACCTGCCCTCCACATCTGCAACGGGCGCCACCTCCCTGGGGGCTTGGGGTCCAGAAGCCTCACTGCTGTCTGCCCTGGATCAAGTTGCCTGTCTCTCTGCCATGTTTCCTGACTAGGCCACCTTCCTTCTGCATCCTCTAGAACAGGGGTCAGCAGACTTTTTTTGTAAAGGGACAGGTAATAAGTGTTTTAGACTTTGGGTGCCCATTTGGGCTCTTGCCATCACTCAGCTCTGCTCGTAGGGCAAATCGCCGTAGCTATGGCTCAATAAAACTTTATTTGCACAAGCAGGTGGTGGGCTGTGTTTGGCTCAAGGGCCACAGTGTGCCAACCTCTCTGAGGACAGGAAGTTTATGTGATCACATTGGCAAAATCCATAAAATTAAGAGAGAACATTCTTATGATGGATGGCAGCACAGAGGTTCGAAAGGATGCTCTGGGCTGCAAGAAACAGAAATTTCCAACTTGCTTAATAAACAGATGTGGCTCCTGTAACTGGGGATGCAGAGAACAGGCTTCAGAACTCTTTCATAAAGCAGCACTAAGAAGCTGCCAAAGGACCGGGTTCTTTCCATTTCTCCTCCTGCTATCCTGGTGGCTTCTTCTCGAGGCTGCCACTTCTCGATTTGGATGACTGCCTTGGTGATGACAGCCACATGCTTCCCCATGCCTGCTTGTCCAGGAGGAGGGACAGCCAGACTTCCTATGGCTCCTTCCCAAGAGTGAGAAAGCTTCTTCTCCCAAACCCCAGCAAGCTTGTCCTCACATCTCACTGGCCCAAAGTGACTGGAGCCTGCCCACCCCTGGACCATCCCTGGCAGAGGGCTGGGATACAGGATTGGCCTAGGCCAGTGGTTCTCAAACCGTTTGACCTTGGGACCCTTTTACACCCTTAAGAATTATTGCGGACACCACGAGCTTTTGGTTTTGTGAGTTATGCCTATTGAAATCACATAGGAGACACTGTTGGCTTGGACTCATCAGTTGGGGAAGAACAGAGCCCAGGGCCTTAACTATGATATTCCTCCAGGGTTGAAACTGTAAAATCCCGAAACAAGGAGCTGAAATTTAACAAAGGTAAATGCAAAGTTTGGACTTAACTCAGAATATTCATTGGCCAAAAGTAGCGGAAAGGAGACCTACCTTGGCTTCACATGACAGACCAGGGCAGTGAGGCAGGCCCAGCGAACCCCGGATGATGAGCGGGGTGGGGTGGGTGACCGGAGCAGCTCCTGGTCCCCTGATCTTGCCCCGGGGCTGGCTCCACTCTGTCTTCTCACCCTGCAGGCCCCCAGCCAGGGAAAGAGGGGCAGACAGGCTTACCCGCTTCTCATTGGACGAGTCGTTCACGTTAACCCCACAGGCCAGGTCAGGCCTGGGGAAGGTTTCCGACCAGCCGTCCTGTGTGCAGTTTCGAAACATGGAACCTGTGGGGGCCAAGCATCCTGCAGGTGAGCAGTGGGGACAGGGGACAGATGGCCTGGGGTCCCGGGTACCCTCAGCCACACCTTAGGGGTGGCCTGGTGTTTCCCCATTGCTGGGCCCCAGCTGCCTTTCTTTGAACCACAGGGTCAGCTCTCAATTGGCCCAGCTGATCCTTGAAGAATATGTAAGGGTCAGTAAGAAGGAGTGGGAAAGGGGCGCCTGGGTGGCTCAGTCGGTTAAGCATCTGCCTTTGACTCAGGTCGTGATCCCAGGGTCCTGGGATCGAGTCCCACATCGGGCTCCCTGCTCAGCGGGGAGTCTGCTTCCCCCTCTCCCTCTGTGATCTCTCTCACTTTCGCTCTCTTTCAAATAAATAAAAATCTTAAAAAAAAAAAGGGCAAAGATGCAGATGTGTGTGCACAGGTGAGAGAGAGATAGATCCGTGGACCCCTGAGGCCTCAATCTACAAACAGGCCGGCTCTGAACAAATACCCTGTTCAGCCTCCAAGCACTACTTGCCCTCCCCGGGGTCCCACGGCCTCGCCCACCCCCACATCCCTCTGTGCCAGGCACAGGGCTCCACAGACGGGGTTGACACACACTACAGTCCCCTACGGTCACAGCAGCTCTCCCCCACTGCACTCCCAACCCTGCAGAGCTTCTGGTCACCGCTCCCCAGCCCGGCTGGCTGCCCCCAGGCCCAGCTCCACTCCAGGGGTTTCTCAGGCCCCGGGGCACCACGGCTTCACCCCAGGCATGTCCACTCCCACCCTACCCCTCACCTTCCCTTCCCGGGCTCCAGTCTCAGCATCAAGCCCCCTCAGTGCTCCAGGGGGGACCCCCCTGCCCATCCTCCACACCCACTGGCTGAGGTGCCACTTCTGGTTTTTGAGGGTTTTCCCAAAACAGGGGGTGCTACTTGACCCCCTGGGTGTTCACAGGAGATAAATATAAACCTTCGCAATGGCAGCACACCAGTGCTCTTGCAAGGGATTACAGTGTCCCATGTCATACAAGGGGCCAAATGTCGTGCTCAAGGACAGTGGTCCCAAGCGATTCTGATCATACACCCCCAACCAAAAAAACCCCATTGATCTCACTCTCTAAGGGCTGTGTATTTGCTCAATTATAAAATCCCGTGCTCTACTATAATAATACCTGGTGATTACTATGTGCCAGACACTGTCCTAAGCCTGTGACAGGTAGCGACTCCTTTAACCCTAACAAGACTATGAACTAAGCAGTTACCTTTATAGTAAAACATATTATAACATGTAAATACTGCATCCATTTCACAGTTGGGGAAACTGAGGCACACCGTGGTTAAATAATCTGCATAAGATCACAGCACAGGAAATGGAGGAAATGGGAGTTGAACCCCGGGTCTCAGACCCTCACTCTCAACCACACACTATGTACGGATCCCCTTTCTTTCTCCTGCTTTCTCCTCTTACTACGTACTGATCCCAGATCCCGCTGCCATTTAATGGGTGGGTTCCCCGAGAACCTGGCACGGTTGGCAAGGACCCGGCCATTCCCATAGTGAAATGTCCCACACCGAGGAAGTTCTATTTCAAATCTCACTTCCCACCCTGCTCCCCAGCACCTGAAAACCTCCAGCAGAGCAGGGGCACTAAGGTAGACCGTCCAGGGGGCCGCCCCTCCCAGAAAGGAAGGAGTTCTCAGTCCTCCGGCCACACCTCCGCATTTCTCTGCATTGTAAATCACAGGATAGCTGCGATCCTCCGATCCTCCCGCAGCGCTCACCGCCCTTCTCCCCGCACAAGGCCAAGGCCAAGTCCTGTGCCCTTCACACAGTGGTGGCTGGCTTCCCCACCTCCCCTAGCAGCTGATGAGCTCTGGAGGGCTCCCGGGGCCAACCCAGAGCCCTTGCTCATCCGTTTGCTGGCTGGCGGGCCAGAACACCAACTGAGTGGAGAAGAGCCTGCTCTAAATTCTCCTATAAGGGAACAGGGAAGTTTGCCCACACGGAGCTTTTGGAGCAGAAGTCCGAAAACTGGGGAAGGGGAGCTGCCAGCCACTGAGAAGGAAGTCTTGGGAAGTGACCAAGAGGAGTCGCCCTCCATGGACTGACGGCCCAGTTGCATCCTCTACTCCAGAGGAGGGCCAAGCACTGGTCCCAGGATCTGGCTGCTGCCCGTGTGGCAGGGGTTGGGGGGAGGCTGGTCTCAGCCCTGGAGACAGGAACTCTGACACCCACTCTGTTCTAATTTGTACCCTCCCCAGGGGCCTTAGCCATCCCAGTTGGGCCTTGTATGCTCCTCTCTGACAGGCCTCCAGTCTGGACCACTGGTTCACAGGGTTCAGGGTCAGATGGGTTCCACTGAACTCGAGAACTGTGGCTGGCATTTCTAGAACCAGCCACCATGCTCATCTCCAGATTTTGATCTAATCCTCCCAGTGCTCAGTGAGGGAGATACTGCTGGCTTATTTTCCAGACAAGAAAACCAAGGCCCAGGATTGGGTAACAGGGCCCAGCCAGGATGTGACTCTTCACTGTGCCTCCCTCCCTGCAGTCCTGGGGGCAGCTTCTACCACCAGGAGACCTTGGCCTTCCGCATCCAGGAATGCCCAGCCCCTGAAGGCTCCTGAGACCTGGAGCACAGGTTTCCAGCTAGCCAGATCTGAGTGTGAACCCCAGCCCTGCCTCTTGGTCATCTGGGTGTGAGCTTAGGTACCTCACTTTTCTGTGCCCAGTGACAATAACCACCCACCTGCAGGACCGAGTGGGGAACACGATAGCACCAGGAAGTGCCCAGGCTGGTGCTCGCTGGGCTGGGAGTGTGACTCCCTCCTCCTTTCAGCCTTTCCAAAATGGACCAGCGGTGGTGGGGCATGGAATTTAGGAGGGGGTGCAAGATTTCTGTAGTTAAATCAAGGGAGCTAGGTTGTCAGACGGGAAAACATGGTGGTCCAATTTCGGCTTGGTTGGATGGGAAGTTGGATTAAGAAAACACAAACTCCCTGGAGCCCAGAACCGGTTATCAGCCAGCGTGCCCATAGAGGCTGGGCTGGGCTGCCTGTTTTGAGGCCTTCTCCTCACTGACCCAGTGGGATTCCCCAGACAGATGCTGCATGTGATCCAGGCCAGGAGCCCGGTGAGACTAAAAAGACGGTGCCCTTTGCTGACCGGGCTCTTGGCAGAGCTGCTGAGAAGACAAGGGTTGGGCTCTCTCTGGAGTCCCTTCAACCCCACCCACTTCCCCTGGGGTTAATTCCTAATAGGACAGGGGCCCGTCCTTACCCACGTTCAGGTCAATGTACACCTCAAGGGCCCCTGAAGGTACAGGCAGTATTTTTGTGCATATACGTATGTGCAGTTTGGGGAAGAGCCAGTCCAAAGCTTTTATCCAATTCTCAAAAGGCTCCTGGAATCTAATCAGGTTATAAGGAACGTCTACTAAGTTAAGGCTCAGGGAAAGGCCAAGGCCTGACCCTGCCACGGAAGTGTGTTTTCTAACAAGGAACTCTGGAAGACCAGTGCCCCATTAAGAATCAAAGGAATGCATCCTGGAGGGAACATTCTAGACCTTGGCACACACAGAAAAATATCTGGGGGCAGATTCTAGCCTGCAGTTTCTCCAGTCACATGGACAACCATCCTGTCTGGGCCCCTGTAGTGGGGTCCCTGGGAAATAATTTATTATTATTATTTTCTTCTCTCAAAAGGAAGGGTCGGTCCAAAACACCACACTGTCCTCACTGGGCGCTCCTCCCTGGGCTGGGTTGGGGAGCCCTGGAATCCTGTGGGAAACCACTGAGGGGAGCTTTCCTTCCTGAGAGGAGTCCAGGGGGCTGAGATCTATGGGGAGGGAAGATGGTGGTAGGAAGATGGTTCTTGGTGGCTAACTGAGGCCGGACTGGTCCTGACCCGTGCTCCTGGACTGGCTGGTGCCCTGGGCTTGGGGATGGGTATGAACAGAGTGGCCCTGGGGTCACTGGGTGGGGGGGTAGTGACACTGCCCCCCAGCAAGTGCAGAGCCCTGGGGTGGGGAGGGCAGGGCCTCCCTGTGGCCTGGTAGACGGGTGGCTCCTGCAGCCCCACAGCGACACCATGTGGCAGCAAGAAGAAACTGCAGCAGAGGTACACGTACCACCCCAACTTCCTCCCCCACAGTGGCAGACCTAGAAATGCACTCCCGGCTGAACTCCGGGGGGGTCTTGAGCAATTAAAGGGTTGGGGATCCTCAGAAAGGAGTCAGTGGGCTACTAGTTAATGAGGCAGGCCGGCGTTCTAGCAATTGATTGGGAAGGATTTGGCCAGGAGCACGGCTCTGCTTGGCCCCCTCCGCAGAAAGGTAGGAGGGACATTGATAGGAGAGGTAGAGGCACTGCGGCTCTGGGCGGGTTGTGAAGGGAAGGCTGGGAAAGGAGGAGAGCTTCAAGTCCCTCCAACTGGAGAACTCGGTCAGCGAGGGAGGAGCACTGGATGGGGAGTCCAGGATCTGGTCCTGGCCTTGCACCTGACCAGCATGTTGCTGTAGGTCAGTCATGTGTGGATTAATCTCATGTGTCGGGAGCTCCATGGACCCCAGACATAGACGTGGAAGGGTCACACTGGGAGAAAAAGACTGTTGGTAAGTTTCCTGGCATGTGTTTGCAGGTGTGTGTGGGGGTAGGCAAAAAGGGAGAAGAGAGGAAGAGAAAGGACAAAAGAAGATATTTAAAATTCATTTCCAAGCATAGCCTGGTCCTGTTTATTCTCCCCATTTTCCAGATGAGAAAATCAAGGCTGAGAATGAGTAACTTGGGCTCTCAGGCCCGGGAGACTGACACCTGGCTGGACCACACTTTCCCTCGTCCCTTGCGGGTCGGTGTCGCCACATGACTGAGTTCTGGCAGAGGCAATGTGGGCAGAAGTGGGATCATATTCAGGCCTGGTGCTAATCAGGAGCGCCCAGTTTGCACGTTAGGCGGGCAGGCATTATACATACGTATGAAGGCTTTGGGATTTGGGACATTGTCTGTTTCGGCAGCTGGCGTTATCCAAGCAGGAAGTGGAGAAGGGGGACTCCGACCTATCTCCCCGGTCCCCTGCAGTTCCTGTCTGCTGGGCATCCAGGAGGCTGAGCGGGATTGTGAGCTACCACAGTGTGCTCCCCAGATCTGGGTGTGTGTGTGTGTGTGTGTGTGTGCACATGCGTACTAGAGAATTATGGAGTGAGGAATTTACACTCCTCTCCCACACTGCATGGTCTTGTTTTCCTTGCTGGTCAACCTTTCCTTACCCGGCTTTGGGATGCTGGTGGGTTTTAGTGTAAAGTCATCTTTTCTGGTTTGTTCTTGTGAAGGGCCTCACTGGTCAGCATTTCCTGCCCCACATAGATGAGGGGAGGGGTTAGCAGGGCCAGGTCAGGCTTTTGACTTTAAATGACCTCATGGAGGACAGGGGCCAAAGGCCATGAAACCACCTTGTCTCCACCCAGCATCACCCGCCACCACAGAGCTGTAGTCCCACCTTGACCATGGCATCGAAGGACAGGGCGCTGGTTTTGAAGTCGGAGAAATCTGAGTTTGAATCTTAGATTCTCCATCTTCTAGCCGTGAACCTTAGGTAAAGTGCTAAACCCCTCTTAACTCCCTGGTTTTTTTTTTTTCCTTTTTCCTGGGTCAAGTGGAGGAGACAAGTTCTGTGATTGGCAGGGGAGTTGTGATGGTTCAACTGAGCCTGTGTATATAAAAATGCCTGGCAGGTGGTGGGGCTTTAGCCAATGTTAGTCCCTGAACATCCCCTGTCTGACACAGTCTCCCCACTCCCTGCCTCAAATTAAGAAAATCCTTGTAAACTGCAGTTTTCCTCGGGCAAGAGATCACCCAGGAGGCGAGGGGCTTTCAGGGAGGGCACAGTTTATCAGCAGGGCCTGGCAGAATGGATACATAGAAAGTAAGTGTTCTGGAAAGCTAGGTTGTGCCATGTGGGACCCAGACCCAGGGGCTGGAACAAGGGGTCTGGTTGCTAAGGGGGCAGAAACATGGAAGGAAGTGGGGGAGCCCAACTGGGGATGTGGGACAGAGAGAAGCAAGCCCAGTCTCCTTTATCACTTCTAGTACATTGCCTCCTGGCCCCCTTCCTTGGGACCCTGCGAATTGAGCCCACCTCACACCCCCAAGCAAGGCCTTCAGGCCCCAACAAGAACCACCTCCCACCAGTCTGTTCACCACTTGTCCCCAGAGGTTCTTTGGTCTCCAGGCCAGGGCCCCACCCAGAGGGCCACCCACTGCTTCGCAGCCGGAACCCGTGGGCTGAGTGGTTACCATTTCTGCCAGTGAGCATCTGGAGGAATGGGGGGCACCCCACTTCCACAGTCCGTCCCAGCGCGGAGGAGGGCCAGCAGCTCATGTTGTCCCACAGCCCCTCGCAACCTGCCAAGACGAACACAACATTAGACAGGGAGAGAGCGTGGGCCAAGGGCCTCCCCCCAAACCGCCTGGCACCATCCCCAACACTCCGGCCTGCTAGGAGTTCCCGTGCGGTCCTGACTCTTCAAGATCAGGAACCAGTGGGGTCTAATGTGCCTTTTTATCTTTGGGGCCTTCGACTCTGCTGTCTACACAGTAAGTGCTCACGTTGAAGGCGTGAAGGAAGGAGAGAACACACATTATCTCATATAAGCCTCACCAGGGCAGGTCTGGATTTCTCTAGAGACAGAACACCTCTTGGCCTCAGCTTGCATTAGACTTGACAGCAGGGGGCCTCCAGCCTGGCTGCACAGTGTAACCATCTAGGGAGCTTTATTTACTTATTTTTAAATTTTTTAAAAGATTTTATTTATTTATTTATTTGTCGGAGAGAGAGAAAGCACAAGCAGGGGGAGCGGCAGAGGGAGAGGGAGAAGCAGGCTCCCCGCGGAGCAGGGAGCCCCATGCGGGGCTCGATCCCAGCACCCTGGCATCATGACCTGAGCCGAAGGCAGACGCTCAATGGACTGAGCCACCCAGGCATCAGAACATACAGAACTGGGCCCTACACCCAGGGATCCTGATTTAATTGGTGTCGGGAGGGGCCCAGGAGTGATACTGTGTTAAAACAGGAGTCTGTTTCCCCATATGCATTCCTCGGAAACGGACTTTGGTCTGAGCACCGACTTCTGGATTCCACGTTAAGGTGCTGGCCTTCCAGTCCTCGGCCTGTGAGCTCTGGTTTGGTGCTAGTGGGAGTCCGTCACCCTGTGCTTTCACACACATGGGCTCATCTAACCCACAGCAGTGCTCCAAGGCATCCGGCCCTGTCCTTGTTTTATAAATGAAATGATGAAGCAGAGAAGAGAAACAGGTTTCTGGAGTCACACAGCCCAGGAAATGCAGGCGCTGGAAAGGGGCTGTCCAGCCACACTGCTCCATGCCACCTCCCAGGCTTCACCCACCTGCCCTGTCTCCTCGGGGGCACCAACCCCAGCTTCCGAGAGCCTTCCTCATGGAGCCAGGCTAGGGGAGCTGGAGAGGGGCCAGGAGGTGGCGGGGAGGCAGGGTGTGAAGCTGGGCCAGGAGGGAAAGAGGGAGGATGCAGAGAGCTGGGCTGAAGGCAGTTGGGGCTCTCCTCTCGCAGGGGGGTCGGCCCCCAGAGGGATGGGGGGAGAGAGGAAGTGGGAAGTCAGGATGCCCAGCTGGGGGCTCTGGAGGTAGAGCTGCCCCTGAGTGACAGACAGACTGTGGCCCCAGGGCAAGGTTGCTGGTATGGAATGAGAGAGAGCTTGGACACAAAGGCAGGGCTTGGACGGGGCTTGCCCAGGACGGTGGAAGCATCTTGGGACTGAGGACCAGGGTTTGTGTCACTCGAGGAATGTGGGAGATGAGCAACCCCTTGGATGTCCCTGAACCTTCACCCCAACTCTCACAGTGAGGCCTGAAAGAGGAGGGGCTGGAGCTGTCCATCTGAGCTCTTCCCAGAGCACCCAGGCAGGGTTTACCACCGTCCAGGCAACTGGTCGTCCACATTCCAGCCGTGGACGCTGCCTGCCAGACGTGAGCAGGGTCTTTCAGAGCTTGCAGGCTCCCAGTGACTCTGGCCTCCCCAGATGGCCCTGGGATGGTGACACCAGGCTGGGAAGGCCCGTAACAGATGACCCACTGTGTCTGTCTACTTGAGTTATTCCAGGATCTGGAGCCTGGAGGATGACGCTGACCCACGTCTTTTCTCCTTCTGCAGAAGTCTCCATATGACAGCAGGGTGCCTCATTTACAAGGAGCCACATGTCTTGTATTAGAAGTGGTTGGGGCACTTCCCAGCTGTGGAAGAATTCAGGGGCCTCTTTCCTCCCTTTGGGAGAAATGAATTCAGGGCTGGGCCCAGCCAGCTCAGCCAGGGCCTGGGCCCAGGGCTCCTGCCCGTGAGGCCAGACAAGCCCTGTCCAGCGGCCAGACAGTTGGGGAGGGTACCAGGGCATCTGGCAGGCTTCCTGACCTGGGTCATGTCAGGTTGGGCCCACGGGGACACTGCCCCGGTGCTGGCAGAAGGCGGTGGAGGAGGGGCTGGTGGTCAGGGGGGAGCAGCTCCCCTCAAGGTGAGTGGGGTCCCCTGGCGGCCAGGTCACTGACACGCCCTTCATCTCAGCCCTGCAGAGAGAAAAGCCTGGACACGCATCAGACACTGCGGAGTGTGCAGGGGTTGGGTAAGATCACTGCCCCACAGCAGAGGTGATGGAGATGCGGAGCCCAGGCTCCGAGAGGCAAAGTGACATGTGCAGGGGGACAGAGCTGATGCTGCTGGAGCTGGCATCCCACCCTCCAGGCTGACCCTTGGTAGGAGCCCACCTGATGCTCGTGTCTTGAGCACGGTATCGTGCCGTGGCAGGGCCACGCTCTCTTCCAGCCTCAGCACCGGGAACAGACCTAGTGCTCCCATCCTCAATAGCATGCTCCTCTAGCCCCTACTGATTGAATGCTTTTAATTTTAATAGTTACACGTTTTTTTTAAAAAAGAGAATTTAATATATATTAAGCAGTTATAGGACGAGCATATCACATCTGTGATTTTATAGCTATTATTGTTTAGAAGGAAGCTAAGTTAAAAACTGAAAGTCAGTTGAAGAAAAGGGAACCCTCGGGATGCCTGGGTGGCTCAAGCGGTGGAGCATCCGACTCTTGATTTCCGGCTCAGGTCCTGATCTCAGGGTCCAGAGCTCAAGCCCCGTGTTGGGCTCTGAGCTCAGCGCAGAGTCTACTTGAGATTCTCCCTCTCCCTCTGCCCCTCCCCCTGCTCATATTCTCTCTCTCTCTCTTTCTCCGAAAAAAATAAATTAATTTTAAAAAGTGGGGGGAGAACCTCGTACACTATTGGGGGAATGCAAACTGGCCATCATAGAAAACAGTACGGAGGCCCTCAATAAATAAAAATAGAACTACGATATGATCCAGCAATCCCACTTCTGGGTATATACCCAAAGGAAATGAAATCAGGACCTCAGAGAGGGAGATCTCTGCTCTTGCATGTCCACTGCAGCATGGTTCACAATAGCCAAGGTGTGGAAACAGCCTCCGTGTCCATCGAACAGTGAATGGACGAGGAGGATTACAATGCGGTATCACTCAGCCTTAACAAAGAAAGAAATCCTGCCTCTTGTGACAACATGGATAAACCCGGAGGACAGTATGCTAAATGAGCTAAGCCAGACACAGAAAGATAAATGCCGTGTGATCTCACTCCTATGTGGAATGTGAAAGATTCAAACTTACCAAAGCAGAAAGTAGAATGGTCACTGGGGGCTGGGGTTGGGGGGAAACGGGGAGAGGTTGGCCAAAGGGCACTGAGTTGCAGTTCTTAAGGGTGAATGAGTCTAAGATCTAATGTACAGCATGATGGGAAAAAAGAAGTCAATTGATTGAAAGAGAAAACATTCAGGCAAGCAGCACACGTGTGCGCTGGGCTGGAGGGACTGTGGCCAGGGCAGCCAGGTGGTTCTGTGTGGCTCCTGGCTGCTTGCAGGGACCCCCATTGCACTGTCCAGGGTGTGAGTGGAGAGCCTCAGACCCCACTTTCCACCAGGCTCCTGCTCTGAGTAGGGGGAAGGCCTGCACAGGTAAGGCAGGGATGGGAAGAAGGGAGGGCGTCCTGGCACCAGACTCCTTCTGGGGCTCTGGTGGGAAAGGGACAAAGCTCAGAACTCGGGTCACTGTGCGTTCCTGGTAGGTTTAGATCTTGACCCCAGAGCTCGCTGCCTGAGTTCGGGGTGAGGGGGTGTCCAATGAAATAAGGGATGGAGGAGCTTTGTAAATGGGGCTCCTGTTCACTGAGCCAGTAGGGAGGGCTCCCTGCCTCCGGAAAGCAGGGCCGAAATGCATACACATTAGCTGCTTCGTGGACAAGCAGGGCCCAGGGCAGCGTGAGGGGCAGCTCTCCACCATCCTTGATGGGCATTGTCACCGCTGACTGCCTGGCTGGAGGGTGAGGAGGGAAAGCTGGGGATGGTTAAGTGGGGAGAGAAGAGAAGACAATGTTGGCCCACAAATGCCATCTGGGGGAGCAGGGGGTGCCTGCCGAGTGCCCGTGGCCACAGAGGACAGCACGGGATCCTGAGTTGAAGTGGTGTTGTGGTGGAGATAGAGCGAACTCTGGACCCAAATCTAGCTTGGGCATGCCCCTTACCTCTACGGGCCTCAGTGTTCTCATCTATAAAATGGGTGTAGTAACATCCCCCAGGATTTTGGTGAGGATTAAATGATTTGTGTATTCAGGAGAATATTTTCTGATCTATTAATCTCCATCCCCGCCCCCCTTCTTTTGTCCTTCCTCCTCAGCCTACTGGTTCACATTCTCAGAGGTGGGCAGAAAAATTTAGAATCTTCCTGGCTTGGGTTTCCAAAGGCTAGGCAGTGGGGGGGGGGGGGGGGGGGCGGGGACAAGAATTCTGGTGTAAACAAAATGCTTGGGAGAAAACAGAAAAGGAACCAAGACTTCCCTCAGTCTGGGGAGACAAGGAGGGCAAGCGATGAACAGGATATACAAGGTTCCAGCAAGAGGCATGAGTACCCTGCTGCCCAGCCAGTCCTGGATGGTGGGGTAGCCCAGAGGAGAAATGGCTGTAGGGATCTTTCTAGACGGGCGGGACCACAGACAGCCTTGCAGAGCTCATGCCTCCAGCAAAGCACAGAAGTCCGTTGGCCGCCACTCTGTGGAGCAAAGCTCAAGACCACATGGGCTCCCCCAGATACCACAGTGCCATGTGAATCTCTGATAGCCTGGCCAAGTTGTGGGGAAGATCCAGAAAAAAACAAGGCTTAGGTTTCTCCATCCCAGGAGAACGGAGTCAGAATTAAAGGTACAGAAAACTGAGAAAGTTCTATTTTTGCCCACTGGAGTTGATGGACAAAGATTGGTCTCCTTTATACTTGTGAAGCCCCCGGCACAGAGCCAGGCTCAATGACAT